GTGTGAAGGAGAATATTTCAGCTTTTGAATGAACCAAAAATCGAGTTATTTGGAGCAGAATTGCAAAAGTTATTGAAGTTTTTAGACCACAAAATATTGTCTTCATACTCATGACCCAAATTTCAGGTATTGTTACATGTGAGTTTTTGATGATTTTCAGCGTTTATTGTTAGTACATAAACCAATATCTGCGTGTAAAATACAAAAAAATACTCATCATGACGCCCCAACATCTAGGAACAAGGTGCATATTTTTTCAGATTTTTAGCTCTCTTCCTGTTGCCTCAGGACTTTTCTATGTCAGTAGTTTTCTTTACCGCCCGGTAAAGATGACATTTGGTGTAGTGTGAGTCCTTCTATACTTCTGAATGACCGTAGCAATTGTTGATCGTGGGCGCCCTGAGCGTTGAGCTATCTGTGTCCCGTTGAGTCCACCCTTGTGGAGACCAATTATATGGCCACGCTCATCAGCTCTGAGATTGCGAGTCCTCATGGGGAAGAAGCCTTCATGAGTTGAAACATGAGAATCAAAGCAGATCTTGTTAGTGTTCATGAAGATGGGAATCTATAACAGAATCAGTGAAATGTCTTCAGATTCTAATTGATGATACTAACCTGATTTACTTGATTTGAAGCGAAGGAAAAGCTTGAGGTCAAAAACTATCCTCTTGGATGCAAGGCTATAGCAGAATTTGGTGGTTCAATGAAGGTAAGTGTAGTAAACCAGTTGGGGCCGGAGGGGTAATCCGGTGTCGTATCTTTCGTGAATAAGCTAGTACTTGAGGAGTCTGAAGACAACGATGAGTCGGAAGACACTTACTGATTTGCCTCCAAGATTGTGATATTTAGGCTCTCTAGACTGGAACTACTGGACATCAGAACATTGCAGTTCACCGAATAGGACTCTGTTGGATGCTCCATGTCCCTGTCTCAAGAAGCTGGAGGTTTGTGGCTGCCCAGACCCTGAGCTTACCCCTGACTATCAATAAGTTGAGGATCAATTACTTTTATTGCCAAGCTACCGCAAAAAATGCAAAATAAAGTCACCATATGCAGGTCTTATCAAAGTTGATTTAAAATTGCATGAGTGAGTGCAGTATTCATTTAATGGGGTGTGATATTGTCTGATCTCAAATCTATGTTGTGCCTCCAGCATTCAATAGGGTGGTTCAAGTAACCCTTTTACAGCCCTTTTTTAAGTTTTACGTTTTGTTCGGGGCCTTTAAATTATAAGTAAAATTTAAAGTTGGTGAACCACCTTTAGAGGTGGTTCACCAATTTGCGATCTGCTAAGTTGTCTTGAAATTTATAGATCTCCACCGTGGCATCGGAAAAAAATCAGGCGCAAAGGGCAAAAAAAAATACTTTTTTTATCATTTGGTTTCTTTTGGGTGTTCCTGGATCCTAACGGTCTCTGGTAAAAAGAAGTCATTTTATCTGTCTTATACTACATAGTCACATGATCAAACGCTTCACAAGTCTCTCGTCGTGCCTCGGAGACATCTTTTCATTAAAACAAATCGATGAAAAAAAAAATCCTGACAAAAACAAGACACGTTAAAAAAAGAAACAAAAAAAAAGCGCATTGGGAGACGGTGTACCTGAAGATACAAAGCCATAAAACGTAAATTTAGGTGCGTTTGTAACTGCGCAATCAGGATTTTTAAGGATCGGACAACCCTAAAAAGACTGATCGCAAGTCTGCGAGCAGGTGGATCGCAACTCTTGACTTGAACCACCCTAATCTGGCCTGACTTTTCTAATACTTCAGTCCCCTTTCTTTTTTGTCCCTTAATCTCAAACCTACTTGATCTTTTTCTTATGCTAATCTCACATAACAATCAAGAAAATCTTATTGAACAAAAGTGACCAAAACTAACTTCTTCACTTGTGAACAGTAAATACAATCCAAATATTCCGATCTTCAGAATCACAAGCCATTCAAAAATCTCTCATTTCCCCACTCCACACTGCCAATGGAGAAATCCAAGGCATTGTTGGAGGCAAATTATTACACAGACCTTCTCCAAGGTTTCATCCAAATTGTTCTTCTGCACTGAGAGTTACCTCAGATCAAGACCTTGGAAGGTTTGGATTCCAAGACTACTACAGTCTAACCTGCGCAAATGCATAACTTGGGTGGAAGGCTTTTGCTATGCATTTTGACGGGTTATGCAATTCCATCGTCAAATTTGGCAGTAAAAAGTATCAAAATTTAGGATTTTTTCTATGCATTATCACGGGTTATGCAGTTGCGCAGGTATGCATTTGCACAGGTCAGACTGTATGGAGTTTCAATCTGAGGTAAACATGTTGGTGGTGCCATCTTGTAGCTATAAAGAAGACATTCAAATTTAGAACCATTCAAAATCTTATGCAAATCAATGTTGCATTAGGGAGTTTCAAGTTAGATTTTATCACACATTTTTATGCTACAACAACTTGCCCGTTTTTGTAAAATATGCGTATTTTTTTACAGCGGGACACCTTTTTTCCCAAATGAAACATATGTTGTTTTACAAAGATTTTTTCCACAAACAACTCACAGGGGCAAAAATTGATGCTCACAACTATGTGAGCGTTGATATGTTCCTGTTTTGTTCCCATTTGGTTCCCATTTGTTTCCAATTTGTTTCCCATTTGTTTCCCATTTGTTTCCCTTTTCTTTCTGCTGGTCAGCTGATTACGTGATCATCAGGAACTGAGCAGACAAACTAAGCCTTCCTCAGCATTTATTCCTGAGCAAAGAAGTCTGAGGAAGGGCTGATCCATCTGCTCAGCTGATCCTGAGCGGCGTTCCCTGGTTCAGTAAGTTCCAAGGGATGCCACCAATGTATAGCTTGGGGGCTGAGCTGAACTGAGTATTCCCTTAGCTAAGTCTCTGAAGTATCCCCCAGATGGATCACAGAGCGCCAAGCTTGCCTCAAGCTTCATGGCTCCGGAATGAAGCCTGAGGCCCGTCTGCTCGTTCAACTGAGCTGCTCAGTTATTCCTCAGGGGCATCCCTGAGATCAGGAGGATCCGGGGGATTTCACTGCTCATTGGATGAGGGGCTGCTCAGTTCTGCTCAGCTGCTCAGCTAGTCCTCAGGGGCATTCCTGGCCGGATCAGAAGGATCCAAAGGATATCACTGAGTATTGGCTGAGGGGCTGCTCAGTTGATCTCAGCCCTTCAGTGTGAAAAACTTTACCCAGGGATATCACTGAGGATTAGCTGAGCAATGAGCAGATGGGATGACGCTTTTATCAGGCTTCATTCCTTAGCAAGGAAGTTTGAGGAAAGTCTGGCCCATCAGTGATCCAGTCAGGGGATGCTACTGAGTATTTGCTGAGCAGCTCAAATGGGACGCCCCTGGGCAGGCTTCTTCACTGAAAAATGAAGCCTCAGGAAGGTATAGTTCATGTGCTCATCTTCATTTTGAACAAATTGCTGAGTATTCAGTGACTCATGAGCTGATCCTGAGTACTCATCGGGAATCAGTTATTGCTCATCCAAGATGGAAATGAGCCTTCTCAATAAATGTCAAGTAAAATATGAGAACCACAGGCTGATCACCTGAACACAAACAAGATTGTGAATTGAATCAATCTGAAAGAAAATGAATCTTTTTTGGAGAATTCCAAAAAGTCTACAACGCTCACATGTATGTGAGTATCTATTTTGGCCCCTGTGACTTGTCCAAATTTATAAAACTATGCAAAAAAACCAAACTTGAAACCCCCTATTGTACTTTTTGGTGGCACATAAAGAAATCAAAAACATTTTCAAGACAAATTGTGTGGTAAAAACAATAAAGCTTTGCCATCCTCGTCCACAACCCTAAAGAGACTAAGACAAACTTACACTGCCAGCATTAAAGAGGTTCCCAGATGGGAATATGGGTCGTAGGAATCAGACAGCCTTTGTGACTACATATATCACAATGGCGGTCTGATCCCTACAACTCATATTCCCATCTGGGAACCTCTTTAATGCTGGCAGTGTTACTGAATTGTATGTCAAACAACCTTTAAAGACACATATCACTTGCACTGTTCTCAAAGTGAGGAACCCATTCATCATCATCTTCCAAAATTTTCAGCATCTACTGATATGCAATTCCTATCCACAGAGGCTTGTTGTAAGATCTTCAAGTTGATACTCCAGAGACTCATGCCATTTAAAGATGGTCTGGCTCAGAAAACACCTAAAATATAGATACAGCTTTGACAAAAACAAACAAAATCAGATTGTTTCCTTCAAAACTATAATTTTGGCTATACAAATTTTGTTCTGGACATTTCCAGATGACTTTTTCCAGAACACCTGAAGCTTCCTGGTGTTCTGAAAAACACAGAGTGTTGGTTATTCAAAGCTTCAGAACACCATACTTTAAGGTCAGAACACACCCAAAAAAAAACTTCTGGTGTTCTGGGAAAACCCTTCTGGAAATTTCCAGAACCATATTTGTATACCCTAGATGAGGTAAACTCAGGAAAATCATCAACAGGAAATATATATATATGTGGGATCCTGTATAATCAGCTGTCTGTTTTCTTTTATGATAAATTCAGATCAATCACTTGTGCCCTTTTGCATACCTTCAAAGTTGCCTTTGAAGATTCTCATACTTGTCTCCAAAGCAAGGTGTTCAGGATCATTGAGGTTACTCAAGCAAATTGGCATGGTTCTTTCAAATTCGATGTGATCATGATCAGTGCACATTCAAGGTGACCACCACCAAAACATTATTTGGGAACACTCAAGAGCGCATCAACATAGCGGGAGCTTTCATTCTTGAATCGATACATCAACACTCTACATTTCCATCAATGATGTTTCTGATTGTAAATACAAAATGGTCAAAAGAAGTGTAATTATCGCAACTTCTTCACTTCTAAAGTTCAATAGCCGACAAGCGGTAAACGTTCGGGTATCCGGCCCAAGTGATAACCGATCGAGTTGACGATACTGTAAGATGAAATCTAAAGTGGTACTACAGTTCAGTCATCCAATCCCATCAAACCTCATCGATCAACATCCCAAGACCTCTCAAAAATGAAAGCGTATCAAATTACCAAAAACTTAAATGGCCTAACCGATCTACCAGCCTGTCTTTTGTAAGTGTACTGAAGTTTCTTATGATCATGGTTTGGTGGTGTGTACTGCTAACACAATGAGCTTACCTTTGATTTTCTGATCGTCGTATTCGTGAAACAGAAAGAATGTTGAATCACCTATACCAGGACCAGATGAAGTATTAGTAAATGTAAAGTAAGTCAAGCAGAACAAAACCGATATACTTCTCTGCTATGTAAACCCCTTTTGTGGAAACCCCCTCCATTAATCTTAAATCTAATGATGATGTTGATTTTGATTCGAATAGTTGTGCAGGAATGAATTTCTTTGATATTTTACAAGTTCAAGGAAAATATCAAGACCAACCACCGTTTCCATTCATACCTGGATCTGAATTCTCAGGTATGATTTCAAAAGATAGTCCGATCCCAACCGGTTGTAACTTTATTCCTGGTAAGACTAGAGTATTTGGTTCTACTCAAGTAAGTACAATTTTCTTCTTCTTCTTTGGATCGGCTTCGAGGTTTGACTAAAAAAATCTGTCTCTTCGATCTTTATATTATAGGGTGCTTATGCTGAAAAGGTTAAGGCAAGATGGGATAGATTAATTGAAATGCCTGATGGACTTAGTTTTGAACAATCCGCTGGACTATACATAACATACCCGTCAGTTTACAGATGATCATCTCTAGATCAGATATGATAATTTTTAAATATCGAGAGATGAAATGACTGAAATCGTCTGAAACATTTTGAATAGGACTTCATACGTTGCCTTGGTGAATCGAGGACAGTTGAAGAAAGGTGAATGGTGTTTGATACATGCAGCTGCAGGTGGAGTAGGAATTGCAGCAGTCCAGATCGCCAAAGGTAAGTTAATGATCCTCTTCGAAATCCCTTAGAAATGATCTTTCCTTGATCCAAATCTATTTTATATTATAGCACTTGGAGCTCGAGTGATTGCAACGGCATCAAGTCAACAAAAACTAGACTTTGTTCGCAAAGAAGGTGGTCTTTCCCCAATCGACGATCATACGATTGTCTACAGCGATACAGTTGTGACATCTGCTCCAGATGCGAAAAAGAAGCCAGGGAAGTTATTGGAATGGCAAGCTGAAGTGATGAAGATCACTAAAGGAAAAGGTGTAGATGTGGTCTTTGACCCAGTCGGTCTCTTGAATGTGAGTTGAAAATCTTAAAGTTGAAATGAATTGATTTGGAAAAAACTTGTTAACTTTATTTTTGAATTTCAGAAATCACTTAAAGTTTCTGGTTGGAATAGTCGATTAGTGGTCGTTGGATTTGCAGGTCAGTTAAATTTTGTCAAAATGCAGATCATCGTACCTTTCTCTGTACAATTTGAACAATCGAGAATCTAACGTGGTTTTTGTTCCGATGTTGATTTCTAAACAGGCGGTGATATAGAAAAAGTCCCAGCTAATCTTCTACTCCTCAAGAATTCAGCAGTGACAGGAGTATTCTGGGTAAGCCTAATTCCAAAACCCACCCAACCTATAAAACAGATCCAAGAATTCTAATGATTTCGATCCATCAAAACAGGGAGCTCATTTAAAGAATGAACCAGAAACCGTTACTCAAGTTTGGTTATCAATTTTAGAATTAGTTAAGCGAGGACAGATCAGACCGGTTTTACATCCTAAGATTTATCAAGGATTAGAATCACTTCAAGAAGGTTTAAATGATTTGGCTAATCGAAAAGTTTTGGCTAAAGCTATCTTACAAATCAAAGTTGAACCTAGTGGGAAATCTAAATTATAATGTAAGATTTGGGGTGTGTGTGTAAGCATATAAAAAGAGGTGATCATTGAAAGAAGCGATGTTGGTTTTATATTGTTGTAGTTTTGTTAAGAAACAGGTTATTTAGTGTAAGTTGATAGATTGATCGATTATTTGCAAGAAAATTGTTGTACTTTTTAAAAAGTTTCATTTATCAACACGTTTTTTTCGTTCCAAGCGCATGATTTCAGATCAAATCAAAAAATGTATCCATGTAATCTATTCATCTTCGGCCAAGTGATCACTTTATCATCAACTTCCATTAGATGAACGATTATCTGAAACTATAGGAAAGACAATTTCAATTGAAGAAGTCTTTCTTGGTGGTACATACCACTTGATCAAAGACAGAATTCTATTCTCAACATCATAAACCGATCCTTTTTCTCTTTAGTCAAATTTTGGACGTTGATATGGTCTGAAGAGAGGCTATCACATTCATTCTTAACATACATTTTGACTCTTACAAATCTCTGGAGCTCTAACTCAACCATTGCTCAAAGTGTTGATGATTTCTACAGACATGCTCTCAAGTAGATCCAATCAATCCTATACAAATCATCATGAGTAGCTCTCAACTCATCTGATAATAACCTTCAAAATCATGTGGTACAAATGAAGATCTGGATGAGTTTGTACGATACATTGCTCAGACATCTATCCTTGCGATTCGTTTTTTTACAAACCAAAAAAGAAAATCGTGAAAAATTTACCAAAACCTTTAACTCTAAGAGCTGATTCCGAAATCTCAAAACATGAAAACCCCAATCAACCAAAAAGAAGAAAGAAAGATAAAAAAAGTTGATATAGTAAGGTCATCATATATAAATGAATGAATGAATCACAAGATTGTAATAACTTCTTTCAATATGTATTTATTTTTACAACCCATCCAACCCAAATTCAATCACCTAAATCTACATCACCTCTACCATCTTCACCTAATTTATATCCCGCTCTTTTTCCTTTAACTCTTCCAGGTATCGATAGCCAAATCTTCATCACATCATCTCTTGAAACCACTGGTGATCCATTAGCACATTTAGCTTGTTTTTGTAATGCTCTTGCTAATTCATCCTACAAAATTCCCAATTTCAAAACCAAAACAAAGTACGATATCAATTCACTATGTACTCAATTGATGAGAAGATGTAAAAGAAAAAAAAGAGCTTCACTAAACTTTATCACATTGAGCAGCTAATGGATGTGACATTAATCTTCCCCAAGCTTGAGTTCCTTTTAACATTTGTCTAACACTTTCACCTTTAGTTAAATTAGGTGGTCTCCAATTCTTGGGCATAGGTTGAGCTAAATCATTTTGACTTCCTGCTTCTTGAGTCGCTACATTCCGTTCGTTTTCATTTCCTCCTCTTTTTCCTTCAAGTGCTGAATCATGTCCTTTCATCACTTCTGTCTTCTTTTCTTCTCCTGTTAATCCTTTTTTGATGATCACATTTTTCGAATCTTCTGGATTTTGAATCTTCACTTTTGATTTTTCTTGACTTTCTTTCTTTTCCACTACCTCTTCAACTTCTTCTTTCTCTTCTTCTTCAATTTCGTCATAATGAATTTCCCAAAACTCTCCCCAACCTTCATCAAATTGTAATTCAGGTGGAGATCCACACGTTTCAAATTGATGATAATCAGTTGCAGATGTGCCTTCATTCATGCTCATGAAACCGTTCGATAGATCAACATTCGAACTGATCATGAGGGTCGGTTCGGTTTCTTCCAATTCCATCTGTTCATCTGAACCTGTTCTGTTTTCTAGAATAGGTTTCATATCAGAAACCAATTGATCGGATTTAATTCCTGGATAATTAGAATTCCAAAACGTATCTTGTGATGATAAAGCAGGATCACCCAACCCTTGATCTTTTCCTCTGATCACATCTCGATCATGTGTTTTAGAAGAACCTTGTGGAATCGAATTCTCATCATTCACATCGATCACATCATCTTGATGAAATCGATTCGGAAGAGGGGTGATCAATAAATCATTAAAGGAATCTAGATTAGGTGAATGATAACCTGGTAAAGGTTGTAGACTCGGTTCTGAATTCGTTGGGATTGGAAACCGTTTTTTGGCTTCTTCTAAAACTTCTTTCGAAACATATTGGCGTAAAACTTCACGTTCTGCTTGACTTCTTCAAAGATTTCGTCAAAAAACCATCAAGGTTTAGTGTCTTGTTTATTAAAGAGACATATACATATATAGTGGATGGATGGATGGAAAGAGATTTTTTTTATCGGGAATTAGAATGAAAGAAATCTGAAATCAAAGTTACCTTGCTATCGTACTTCTCATTTCACGATTCAAATTAGTTGCATCAACAAGTTGAGAAGATGTCAACTTTTCACGTTGTTTTCTACGTTGACTAAAAGTTCTTTGTGCCCTATTCTCCCCCCAAAAAAATCGTACCAATTGTCAGAAAGAAATCCAAAAGATCCAAAGAGAAAAGGCTTTGTAAACTCAAATGGGCACGAGTGACTTACGATCTGAGTTGAATTTTTCTTTTTTCTGAACTTGTTGGTTTTAGATTTGATTCTAATGTAATCGAATGATGATGATCATCTGGTTGAGGTTTTGAAAAGTCAAGTGGATCTAAATTTAAAGAAGAAGAAGATGAAGATGATTGAGTGATAGATTGTTCGATTGAAGTATCCTTTAAACCTATTTTTTAAGAAATTCATCAAGATCAGGATGGTAATGATCATTATCATCATCATCGAGAGAGATGGATTTGGGTACATAGTTTCTTTATAAAAGCTTACTATTACGATTGGTTGAGACTCTTTTCTTGGGTGACATTTGAAAGTTGAAGAAGATAGGATAAAATGGAAAATTAATGAGAATAAGAAAAGAAAAGAAATGGATCGAATGATATATATAGCTAAAAGGAATCGAATGATATTATATAGTAAGATAAGTTTACTTGATGACCATTCTTGATGACCATGCTATGTATCGAAATCCTGTTGACCATTTCAAGATGATTTACATTTTCTTATTCAATTCGATTTCACCTTACTAAGAGTAAATCATCCATGGATTGACACTTTTCATCATCAGCTGATGCCATGGATGACAAAGCTTCTTTCCAAACTCACAATAATAAGTAGAAATAGAGCCCTACTTGCAAAGTAACAAACAAATAAAGCTATACTAGGATAGTTCAGTTGCAACTGACTCAAAAACCATCAAAAGGTCCGCCATGGGAGAGACTGAAAGTATCACAACTTAGAATAAAAGAGTCACACTAGGGTGGGTCCATAAAAATTTATGCGAGACACTTATAGCACGCATATATAACGCTCAGGGTTTCTTGTGGAATCAAGCTCAAAGAGTTATAGAAATCAGGAATAAACTGGATGATCAAGTCATCAGATTGACTAGCATCCCAGGATATACATATTGTTTGTTTTGTGGAAGCTTTCATTTTTTTTTGCTTGAATTCTCTCTCGCAGGCTCGCTCGCCAAGGGGGACTTAGTTAGGTTAACCTTCAAAGCAAGATAGAAAAATAACTTCAATGAGCTTGCTAGAGGCTACGGATAACGTTTATGGCATCACTTGAAGTTGTACTCTCCACAAAGATCAGCTGGATCCATCGTGTCAGTGTAGGGTTGGTATTACAAGCGCGTAGGACTTGCCTTTTTCCTCAATGGGATTTGGCCTGCGCTTGTCCATGATCAATCATCAGATTCATAGAGAGGTGTTTTCAATGGGTTTCGCTATATGTTTTTTCTAACATATCTTATCCTTCCTAAACCATGGTAAATCCGATGAAATATATACTCCTATATAGTGAGAGTGGGTAAGAGAAAAGGAAATGTTGAGGTAGAGAATATGATTGACTCTTTCAAACAGCAGAAAGTTTATCATGTTTGATCAGCTCATATATGAATTCCATTACTGCTTGATAGCTTGTTTTTCTGATATATTGTCTGATTTTCTGAACTTTTGATTTTGATGAAGCTGAGGACTTTACCCCTTGATGGAAGTTGGAACTGATGAGATGGAACTGATGAAGATGAGGTTTATCAGATGTGTATATGTGTAAGTATGTGTAAAATGCTGAGTTAAATTTTGATATGTAACAGGTGTATGAGTACCAGATGCTGAGTGAAGAGCTGATCCACTTCTGACCATTTCGTGTTTCTTTGTTTGCATTTCTTTATCAACACTTCATTGACTTTGACTATCATTCGACATATCATATTCAATCGATCGATATCTTTTAATCAATCAGTCTTACGATTCAAACGTTTTCCTCTATCTAACTTAAAGTTATAGAGAAGCCTTAATCAATCAAGTTCACCCTCATCATCATCACTTGAGATCATTCTCAAATCGTCAAATCTTTGAAAGTGAAGGGTTCAAAGAATCTCACTTACTTAGATTCACAAACTAATCTTCCAAAAGCAAATTCGATTTATCTTCAAAATCATCCGACTAAAGACCAAGACATACATTCAAAAACCTAATTCGTTTTTCTGTTTTTTTTCTGTTTTTAACTTTTACATTTCTTGATCAAATCTGAATCAAATCGAAATCAAATCGAACCCTTTCTTCAATCTATCGGCATATACGTTCATCTTTCTCAAGATCACAGAAACCTGTAAATTGATATCTCGTTTTAAAATCAACCTGATCGATAGGTTCGCTCTACTCTCATTGGCTTTATCCTCTCAAATATCATGACCTTTCAACATCACAACTCTAACATGTTTCTCTCCAATCTCTTCGTATCGGATCATGACATTCAACTCTGGATAGTTAACCGGTCAATTGGGCTTTCGTCTCTTTCGAATCTGGTCTCCTTTCATCTGATTTTCAAATCAGGTTCAGATCGGTTCAAATCATGTCAACTAGCAAACTTGCCAGCCCAGATCTAGAGGAAGGTGAAATCAGTGAGACAGAAGCCAACTCTCTTGAAGATCGCCCTCAGGACAATGGCCAACGTCCGTCACTCAGTGATCATTCTCGTCGGCCTTCGACTGTAGATTGCGATCATGATGCCGAGGTCCCATCACGAAGCCATCCTTCTGCTAGAGCGCGTAAAGTCGTGGCTCGTAGTAAACGGGCAAGTTTCAAGGCCGTCAAACCAAAAGGGCGCACAATCGAGTTTCGTAATCGAGACCGAGATCGAGACCGAGATCGTGATCGAGAGCGGGAGCGAGATCGAGTAGAGCGAGAGCGGGATCGAGAGCGGGAGAGGGAGCGGGAGAGGGAGCGGGAGAGGGAGAGGGAGCGAGATCGTGGCCGAGATGATGATCGTTATGCTAAAGATCGTCGAGATAGCTATGGTACGGCTCGTAGTCGACGCTGGCAACAGGAAAGGCGATCTAGGCCTAGTCTGAACCCCCGGCCTCCCAGAGATCCTCGCAGGCCCAGTCATGATGAGGGTCAGGGTGAAGGACCGTCCGAGGAGGCCTATGACTATTATCGTCATGATCTACCAGAGGATCCTCAGTATGATCAGAATGGGCAACCTTATCATGAAACTCAGCCTCAACCTACTTATCCAGAGCCGACATTCGAACAAGCACCACATCATGTAGCTTCTGCAGCTCCTCCTTCACAGCACCCTCATCACCCTCAAGCCTATCCGCCAAACTACTCATCATACCAACCCGCACAGAACCCTTACGAACAAACCGAACCACAGCCTCCTCACCCCCCTCCATCGACATATTCGCATATTCCTCAAAATGCTCCAACAACTTCCGATTTCGATATGTCGCATCATTATCACCAGCACGAAGCTCAACCGCCACCTTCACAGTCATACTATACAACAGCTCAACCAGTATATGATGAACAGATGGTCGCCATGGAGTCACAACAAGAACAAGCTCCTGATAACTACTATGACCCATCAGAGCAACATAACGAAACGAATAACCATCACCCTGAGATGTCATCACAGCATATTTCTCATCCCTCACATCTTTGTCATCCTCCACCTCAACCGCATCATCAGATTCAGGAACACTCACATGAATCATATCATCAGCAGCAACCTAATCTACATTCCCATCAGGTCATGATGGATGATGCTTGTAGGCATTCTCAACCACCTCAGCTTAGGCAAACGTCATCTCATCAGGAAACGCACTTGAATCAAAATTGCCAAGAACAGCAACCACATCTGCAGCCGATCATGGAAGATAATTCAGCCCCTAGAGAGTATTATCAATTCCATCAACCGCAAGAATCATATCCACAAGCTCCGTCAAGACCACATCAGGTCCAACCTGAGTTCGAGTATGAAGCCCATCACCAAAATGGATTTCAGTCTAACGGCTATCAAATGCCACATCAAGATCCTTCATCTATGCCTCAAAATGAACAACAAGTACAGTATCCTCATCATGAGCAGATGCAAGTCCAATACGAAGAGTCTCTTGGTCCATACCGACCTCCAGCTCAATCGACATGTCCACCAACAGGTCCTTATGAAAATTACCAACCTAACCCGACAATAATATATCCGACCGAACAACCATTCATGTCATGTGAGTCATTCTTAGAAATCTGTCTTCTTGATACTGGTAAGTTTGAGGCTGACATTATCTTTGATTGGGTGTTTCAATAGATATCGATCTGGAAGGAGAACGTCATGAAGTCAGAGGATTAATATCTGAATTAGTTTCATGGGGGGTCACAGCAGGATATTTGATAGAAGTAGGAGTTACAAAAGATTTAGTATATAGAACATTTCAAGAATTAGGATATATGATTTCTCAGTATAGCAATTATATAGAGAATCCAAATGAAGGCTATTTGAATGTAGAAGTGATCCAACCGAAGGAATCAGTGAGTTTGAGGATTCATCAGACTGATGATGTTGATGGAGTTGATGTGAAATCGTTTAGGGAATCTTCCATTGGATTCTTACTTGATCAACATACACCTCCATGTGATTCACCAGTGATACCAAATGAAGTTTTGAAAGAAGAAGTGATTCAGAAAGCAGTGATTGAAAAAGTGATCGAAATCCAACCTGCTTCTTCAAGTCTTGTAGATGAATTAGTTGAAAGTGAAACAGTACGAAAAGCTCAGAGACAAGCCTTCAGATTAGCATTATCCAAGAGAAGTGCAGAGAGAGTAGAGAAATTAAAGAGTGAATTACAATTGATCTTTGATGGACCTTTTGGCGAAGAAGAAGAAGAAGAAGGAAACCGATCTAGTGAAAGTAATGAAGAGAATGGATTGTTGAGTCCGATCGTTTCTGCTACTACTACTATTGATTCGTTTATTGGACCTAAAGAGATTGAAGAAGAAGAAGAAGCAAGGGGAGGAAAGAAAGGAAAGGGAAAGGGAAAGCAAAAAGAGAGATGGGTAGAGATTTTGAAAGGTGATGATTTGTTTTCGAAGATCGATTTAGATGATCGGGTTTTGGTGAATGGTGATCATCATCATCATCGGATTCGTCATCATCAGATTGAAGTTCATAATGATGTATCAGTGTCAGAAGAAAGTTTGATGATCAAAAGGAATGGGATTGGATTAGTTGAGAAGAAAAGGTTGGTTGGAACTAGTGTTAAGAGGAAGAAAGAGGACGGATTGGGTGCGAAGAAGAGGAAAGAATGGGTTGGAGAAAGGAAGAAAGAAGTTGAGAAAGTTCATGAGGAATCGGATTTGAGTTTACATCAGAATCAGAATCAGAATCAAAATCAGAATTTGGATCAGAATGAAGAATCTAATCCGACTTTAACTTTAACTTCAACTTCGAATCCAACTTCAATTTTACATTCAAATCAAGATTCAAATCAAGATATCAATCAAACTAATTTAACTGAAATCTCAAATCATCCAAATAATAAGAAAAAAGTTAAAGTTGATCTTGGTTTGCGTAGATCTAAACGGAAAAAGAAAGAAGAAAGTTTGATAGTTTGTTAATTGTCAAAAAAAATAGAAAGATAAGAACATGATGGACAATGGAATGAGGGGAGTTTTTTTCAAGATTTTGAAAAAAAAGAATGGGTTTTTCGGGGAAAAAATAGAAAAAGTAAATTACATTGGTTTGGATTTCTGTCGAGGAAAAGAGGGAGTGTTTTTTGGATTTTATTTTTGTTGGTTCTTTGAATGTTTTGTTGTAATGTTTTAATGTTTTTGGTTGGTTTGTTTTTTTTTGCTTTAAATATTTTTGATTTAATTTATTTTTTTAATAATACAAAGAGAAAAAGTTGAAATATGAAAAGCAAAAAAAAAACTTTGCAAAGGAGGGGTTTCTTCGTTTCTAAGTTGGGGTTGGTTGGTTGGGGGGTTTGATTGTGTGTTTGGAAAAGAGGGGAAGAGATAGGGCTGTGAAGAAGTGAGGGCTGTGAAGAAGAGATTGTATGTTTTTTTATGTATATATAATAGAAAAACATAGAAATAATTTATAGAGTTTGTCATTGATTTAGTTACAATGATCATTTAAATCTCAATTGATTGGTGTTAATTTTTTGACTTGAGATTTGAAGTTGGTTTTCATGTTCATGAATTGAAATGTATAAGTTGTTTTGAAGGATTAGAGTTTGTGATTCAAATCTTTCAAAAGAAAGATACAGATGAAATTGGCAAATTCTGGTTTCTTGAAAGTTCAGATATATGATCTTTGCAACTCTGTTAAAGACTAAAAAATGGTGTTTGTATTATAAGAAATCTAATGAGGGACTTATAATAAGTTTAAGTTTGATCTATCAAATTCGTATGTATTTGATTATAGCTGATTTAAGAATGGATGATTTCTTTTTTTTCATAAGTTATTTATAATGTTGCTCATGAAGTGATCAAAACTAACTAAAAACATTTCTTCACAGGTTTTGATTTTTTTGTATTTTCAAAATTAGAGAGATGAAACTAGGTTAAGAAGAAAATCAAGTTTTGCACAGTGATGTGCTTTTCAAGAAAACAAAAATCAATCATTCTCAAAATTAGCCGTACGTTTTCAGTAGGGCCCCTCATGATCTGTTGGTATTGGACCAGTTGGTCCATTCTCTCTCTGCAGGCGGCACTTTTGCTACTTTAAAAATTGCGCAAAGGGACCATGATCAGAAGCAAGAAATTTCTCAAATATGTGAAAGTCTTTTGGTGCCATTGTTTGCCATGACGGAATAAAATCATCTGACCAAAGACCAAAAGCATTGACACCTATTGTAGTCCAAATGTAGGTTTTATGATGATTTGCTGCTGATTGATTTATTCTTTGAAACACATTTTTGGCAAGAAGGCATCAACTTCCCCTTGCAAGAGATCAGTGCAGACTTTTTCCCGTCAGTCCGTATAAAAACCTGTGGTAGGGAATCCTCTAGACGGATTGCAAGAATGTCTTCTGCAAAACCTCACTCTGACTTCTGAGTAATGAATCTGTGTAAGTCACTTGCTTGGTATTTTGATTCTGCTCGAAGCGTGCGAGAAGCAGCAAGGGACGTTGAGTTTATGAGCTTATTTCAAAATACCAGTTTTATTTGAATAGTGCGCTCCCGGCTGCTCCCGCCCCCGGCACCTGGGATACTTTGATGTATTGTGAAGAAAGACAAGCACCAGCGACTCTGGGGACGATTATTCCCGGTTGTCAAATTAACTCGCACCAATTTTTCTCACTCCCTAACCTGGCTCAAAAATTCTTCCTTGGTTTCAACATAGAGGTTGCCTTCCTCGCTCACACCACTATCTATCAATCCAACCTTCATCATGATAAAAATTAGCCATATCCAAAAGGTCTTAACAAGATTGACTAGTTTGAGCTTCAAGACTAAAAGCACGTCTGGATATGAACTTTTAAACTTGGAAGGACGCCCGTTGGTAGAAATAAAACACGATCAAGAAGGGAACAATTCACAAGAGACTGTGTCTGGTGCATCAAATGAAGCTACACAAACTTGGGCAAATGGCCTGCGAGGCCTCGCAGCTTTCTTAGTTATGATTCATCATTCCATCGCTGCTTTCAACCTTGAAGCTACAGTGGCTCTCAAAGACCCCGATGGAACCGTACATTTTTGGCAGTGGCCTATCTTACGAGCAGCCATATCTTCTGACGTCAGGATCTTGCTTCTCTCCCTGTTCGCCTCACAATTGTACTAACCTAATGAAATTTTTAACAGTTCTTGGTGCAGGTTTTTTTTGTTTTGTCAGGTATGTGATCTAAACAATCACCTCCTCTCAAATTCCTGACTTGGGCATGTTTTTGTTCAAAATCAGGTTATGTGCTGTCTTATCGGCCTCTCTATCGGCTTAGCAAGAGACCTCAAAAGGTGGAATCTGTCCACAGTTCATTGGCATCGGCTTGCTTACGACGGATATTCAGGTTATTACCTCCTCCGGTGACGGCAGTTATGATCTCGCATATCATTTTATTGGGTGGAGGTTTTGACATGGCACGAGCCAAGGAAGTGTGTAGCTCCTGGACGAAAGACACTGTGCCACGTTGGATAACCTCCAACTGGCGCGAGCAAACTTTAGAAGCTTTGAAAAGCATGGTGAGTCAAAAGGATCCTACTTGATGACCTATAATCATGGACCATAATCATAAGGAGAAACTCCATCTGATTGACTGACCTCTAAAATGCGCAGGTGGCTATATGGTATGAAGAGCGAACTAAATCTGAATATGACGCTGTGCTGTGGACGATGCCTGAAGAATTACGAGGATCGATGTACATTTATTTGTTTTTGCTGGCAACTTCAAGTTTAAAACGTCGATTTCGAGTGATCCTAGCGCTTGCATTAGCACTCGTGAACCTCTTGATGAAAAAATTATCGATCTTGCCATTCATTTCAGGCATTTTCATGGCCGAGCTTCATATTTCGCAATCCGAACGCCGCGGATCACCAATCAACAGGATTTTGGTTTACCTTGGTCGGTTGGCCATTTTCATCACCTTGATGATTGGGTTGTTTTTTGGTTCAATACCAGGTTACCCAACCACCGAAATGAAATCTACCGCCTGGTCATCCGCAATGTTCCGCGTCATGTCAAGGTTATACAGTCAAGATGAACCTCAAGTGAAGGCACTATACACGCTCATGGGTAGCACTCTTGCAGTTTTTGCAATATCACAATGGTCTTGTGCTAAAAAGCTTCTATCCACTCGATCACTTCAATTCTTGGGCAGAATCTCTTTTTCATTATATGTAATTCATGTTCCACTCTTACTTAGTGGAGGGATTTCTCTAGTTTGGAATTTTCGACATTCAGGAGTTTCTAATACTTTATCAGTCTTTCTTATGTTACCTTTTTGGATTGGAACGGTCATCATTGTTAGTTTGATCATGACAAAGTATATAGACGAGAAGGCCGTTACATTTAGTCACACATTGGAAAGGTATTGGAGGGTATAACTACACCGTTTCATGTCAAATCGTACTACATTTCACCTGTAAAATAGTGTGTATATTTCGAGCCGGATGACACCGCGGGATTCGGAATCAACGCGTTCAAAACCCAATTAAAGAAAGTTGCGGTGACCAGGTTCGCGGAGAGATACAGTACATATCAGTCTTTTACTGACCTGAGACAAACCTTGGAGGCTGGGACACAATTAGGGCAGTTGGTCAGTACATTCTTTTTTTGGGTGGCATTTATTTTCAAATTGCACTTTCCTCTCAAGAAGAGGACCACATGATTCACTCATCGGCGGTGTCCACATGCTATGTAACCGATTGCCCATATCTTAAATGAGGTTATTTGGCAAAGATTGTGGTGATTTGTGGCCCAGGCGAGCTTTATAACCTATGTTCTATAGACCCTCTTTTGAGATGGACTGAATAATGACCCAGTGTACGATCTATTCCATCGCTAGATATCCAAGGGCCTTTGTATTTTGTTTTGCCAAACAGTTGTTTCCGCTCTGGATTTGTTTTAAGCTGTCATCAGCTCACGCATTGGCAGTGCTTAGTGGTAAAGCAGAGTAAACCTACATCTTCCTCGGCTCATTTGAAAGCACTGCTTTGCAAAATGCTCCCAGTGAAACTTTCCAGACAGTCTCCCAAAGTGTAAGGCTCGGAACATTGTCCCCAAGTTGCCAGATGAGCTGGCTATGGTCGTCCACTAAAAACAAGTGGGTACAGCTATGATCGTGTCTCAAGTCTTCAAAGTGTTGCTGGGGTTTGTGGTAATCAAATCTCCAGATGGGAATCTTGCTTCGTTTCTTTTTGTTGTAGTTGAAAGAATATATGGAAGCATTTTACATTGTAAGCCCACATTGCAAGGATGTCATGACCTCAGTCATAAGCTTAAGTTTAACAAAGACCTCTCTGCGTGGCCAGTTGATACCTCGCGTCTCTTGCATTAAATGCTCTCATCTTCAACTGATGTGTCTTGATAGAACCGGTTAGATGAAACCTATCACAGAAAAGAGAGATGTAAAGATCAGATACATCAAAAAATGGAATAAAATGGTCAAAAACTTCCGAATAGACATATCAAGCAATGAAAAGTGTGTCTGAGCACTTGGAAGCAGTGACACAATTGACAAACCATCATACATCACTACCAAGCGCGTTTTCCGCGCACCATAATTCTGTCTGAGACACTGTGCCAAAGCTGTACGGGTCCTGCTGATCATGATCAGCAAGGCAAGTCAAAACATCCCTTGAAAACCCTTGAAAACGCGGAAAATTTTAGAAATGAAATTATGATTTAAACTTGCGGTAGCCCAAGGCGAGTATGAATAAAACTTTGAAGGATGTGGAAATTCTACAAAGTCTTCGGACCCTTTTACCAACACCAACATCTATCAATCACATCTTTTCTGACCTTTTGCTTTGGTCTGCTTATCCAACTCCTTCCAATCGATTATCAGAATACATTTCTCAAAAAACATCTTCCTCAGCATGTCTCGAATTTTGATAAACCTATCGATCAGTCTTATTATCTTATTGGTATCTCTAGCTACGGTCAGTTTGGCTGACACCTGCACAGTTTGCAAGTATGATGGCACAGCTTACCACACCAACAGTGTTTCGGAATACGCCAGCGACCTGTGCTTGGTTGTCAAGAATGATATGGGTGCTGATTGCGTCAACAAGGCTTGGTACACACACTTTAAGGACACAAAATATAATGGTCAAAAGACATATTGCCGAATTAAATGTAAGTCTGAAGTCATTCAACAAACACAAATACTCCCAAAAAATGTGATTCACGTGAAACTTATTTTCCCATACTTGATCTCGCTGCATCCCTCACTTCCCAGGTAAAGATCAAAAAACTCTTTGTGCGAGCCACTGGACTGACCAGCCCAACGTTGGACCGAAAAATGGACCACATGATTCGCTCATCGGGGGTGTCCACATGCCATGTGATCAATGGCCCACATCATAGAGAGGTTATTTGGAAATGATCGTGATGATTCGTGGCGCAGGTGAGCTCTAATTGTGTTCTTTTGATCCTCTTTCAAAAAGCAATGGCTGGTGACCCAGTATGATTTTCAAACTGCTAGAGATCCCAAGGTCTCTAGATTTTGTTTAGCCAAACATTTCCGCGCTAAAAGTGTTGAGCTGTCCTCAGCGCAATTCCAGTGGTTGGTAGTAAACCTAAGTTTTCTTCAGCTCATTCAAGATCAATCTTTCCAAAAAAACTATTCCCTGTGACCCTTCCCAGGTAGTTTCTTGAAATGAAATACTTTCAATATCATCCTCAATATCCATAACTTTTCCCCTTCCCTTACCCGGTATTTCAATAATGTCAATAGGCGTATTTTTAACATTTTTTTTGCATAACTGTCCTACTTTGTATATATATATCCGCCAACACCTTGTCCTTGGCATTGTGGCATTATCAATACTTCATACTCAGATCCAAGGTTTTGTCTGATAGCTTATTTTAAATCAAATGCTTCTCTATATATATATCAGGACCATGGAATAAAATATGATCCTTCCTTATTTTCATCTCACTATGGCACATTTGATAAGCTGCAATGCTCTACAGACACATTGTCTCTCAAGGAATTTTTGGCGGCTATCCAAAACAGTTTGAAATTTTTCATAGGATTGAATCTCAAAAAAAATGAGAGATGTGAAGTCTTGGAAAGAGATATAGCTCTTCAAATGAGTATGTGGTCTTGCTGACTTGATAAAGTACCTGGGGTAATCAGGTGATAAAGGTACATGTTAAAAACAGGCCTCACTCAGCTACAAAGAGCTATAAAAATGTGACAAACCTAGCACCACACAACATTTAGTAAAGTAGAAAAAGAGAAAGATTGACTGTTGATTAGTTGTGATGAATCTGAACAACCTCCTTATCAGAGAAGCCAAAGTCACAGCCCCCAATCACAAGTCACTGGCAGGCCAGTGTGTTCAGGCAACTTGATGATGTTTTGAGCGGGTTTGAATTGGATATCAAATGGATATCACCCATTTATTGAGGAGTTATTGAGATGCCATCAAAAGTGAGATGAATTCACATAAACTCATAGACCTGCACAAGACTGCTTGTCTATTTTCCTACCAGAAATATATAGTTTAGAATCTTTCTAAATGTTGCCCAAACTCCAACCTTTCATATGCTCACAAAAATAGCGCCTACACATGTGTTCCCACAAAAAAGCACCTGCATTTGGGTTTCAGCCTCTAAAATTGGCATTGTAGGCACTGGAAAAAACACCTACATTTGTAAATACATATGCAGGCACTCAAAAAACTGCCTACAATTAATGTGAGTTGCAGGAAGGATATTGGAGGATGGTAAAACTTTTTTGAGTTGCAAAAAAAGGTAATTAGAGGACAGAAAAACTATTTTGAGTTGCATAAAGGTAATTAGAGGACAGAAGAACTATTTTGAGTTGCAAAAAGGTAATTGGAGTGCAGGAAAACTATTTTGAGTCGCAAAAAGGTTATTGGAGGATGAGAAAACTATTTGAACTTGCAAAAAGGATATTGGAGGACAGGAAAACTGTTTTGAGTTGCAAAAACAATAGTGGATGACATACTTGGAGTAACAATAATGGAGTATGGAGAAACTGTTGTAAGTTGTGGAAAGGATAACAGAGGACAGAGTGATTGATTTGAAAGGAGATGTGAATTATTTTTTCCATCCTGTTATCCTCTTTGCGACTCAAAATAGTTATTCCAAACTCTGTTATCCTTCTTGCAGCTTGACATAGAGTCCTCCATTATTGTTTTTGCAACTCAAAATACTTTTGTCTGTCCTCCACCCTGAGATAGTTTTTCCATCCTCTGTTATTGTTTTTACAACTCAAAATATGTTTTCTGTCCTCTGTTGTTATTTTTTACCTCAAGATATGTTTTCTGTCCTCTGTTGTTGTTTTTGTAACTCAGAATATGTGCTCTGTCCTTCATTATTGTCTCCACAACTCCAAATACATTTTCCATCCTCTGTTATTGTCTTCTGTCCTCTGTTGTTGTCTTTGTAACTGAAAATAAGTTTCCATCCTCCGGAAGGTGCTTTAAATGGTGGTAAAAATCAGATCACAGCCCCCAAGAGCAGGTCACTGGCCGGCCAGGGCAATCAACTACATCAGGGTATTATCACAGCCAACAAAGATGCCTTGGATTGAAAAATCCAAGGTATCATCGGACTCAAATCCTTGGACAGAGTCTTTCCAGATCCTGATTGATAGATAGTCATTTCAATGGATCAAATGGTTGATAGAGCAAGTGATTGATGAATCAATCAAGCCATTTCACATTAATGAATCTTTATTTTCAAATTTGACTTAGGCCTGCTAAAAACACAATCTGGCACTATGCCAATCTTGATATTGAGCACTATATACAACAGAACTTGGACTGGTTTGAGAGCCAAGGCATTGGAAGCTCAAGGATTGTGAAGCCTTGATTCCATCAAACCTTGTTGAAATTGTTTGAGTTTCTCACATCAGGAAGTTCAAGATCACATTGTCACATATCCACTGTGCTGGACAGTGGGACCACCTCCAAGGGATTTCTTGACAATTTAGGGTACTCAAAGTAAGTATGCACACGTACATACTTTTGTGTGCATACTTTTTTTTGGCGGGGAAAAAGAAAAAAATATACTTTTGGCCTCGGTCTCCCCGCCAAAAAAAGTATGCAGCGAAAAGTATGTTACTTACTTTGAGTACCCTAAATGACCGATGTATATTTTTCTATTGGGTGACCTTGCAAGGGGTTTGGAGTAAAATTAGACTACAGTAACCTGTCACCACTACTTTCACTGGTAATGAGCCTTAACAGGCGTTATACAACCTGCAGGAGGGAGGGGGTGGTGACTCGTGAGGCTACCAAGGGGGTTGGGGATACCAGGAATTTTATTTTACGGTGGAGAAGGCACACCCCCAGAAATGGAACAACTTGAAATTTTGTATGCATCTGCAAAGCCTTTTGCTTGCCAAACTCTGGCGCGGACCGGGAGTTTCACACGCAGGACAAGTTTGCAAGTCCGGACCCGTTTGCCTCACCAAAATTGAATTCATCAACCAATGGGGTGGCTGTCTTTTAGTTTGGCAGGGATTGGGGATTAGGGCAAAAGCTCTCAATTGAGCTTGGCATATGGGCTCAGGGGAAATTTTTACTGAACGGTAGAGATCTAAGGGTGGGGCGAAGAGTTCAAGAAGCTGAGCACAAGTTCGGAATTAAAGGGGATGGAAATAATTTGAATGGTATTGCTAATGAGAACATTACAGTCAAACCGGAAAAGCTTGTCACCAATTCCCCGCCAATTTGCTCGAGTTTTGCGGGCAAAATCGGTCAAGCTTTTCCGAATTGACTACCCAAAGGAGAGAAGTTGATCAAAGTTTTGGATGAAATGATTCATGAATGTGTGATTGCAATCTGATGATGATAAGGTGTTTCCAAGATGAAACGTAATGCTTTGGTGAACTTTAATCCATTGACCAGGCGAGAATCGAGAATAGGAGAAGTTCAAGGAGGAAATTCAAATCGAATTCAAAAGTAAGAAATTAAAAAAACTGATTGCAGTTTAGACCAGAATTTGAACTTCACTTCAGTCTGTTTCCTTCTCTTTACCTTTTACCAACGCATTCAATCAGATCCATATCAATCCATCCATCCATCCATCCATCCATCATCAAGATATCCTCATCATCAACATGACTTTACCTCAGCAAAACGTTCATAGAGCTCGTAGTTCATCATTCCAACCTACTTCAACTTCAACTTCTTCAAATCAGATCATACATCGAAACCATCATACTAAATCAAATCAAACCGAATCTTATTCATCAAATCAATTACTCCAAAAACAAGCTAAAACGATCGAATCACTCGATTTACCTCCTAGTTTACCATTCGCATTATTATCATTACGGCAATTCTTATCAACTCATCTATTACAACTCGAACAAGGTTTAGAATCTATCACGAATCATTTGAAAAATGATCCACACCAACAACAACTATCATCCTATTCATTCTCTTCCTCAACCTCACCCATCGATTCATCGGACGAAGATTCTTCATCTGATGAAGCTGATGATCAACAACCTTTGCTTTCTGACGAGAAAGCTACTGAAAGAACAGCGACGACTCCATTAACAGGCTTTATAGATCAACTTACAGCTTATATTGATCAATTGAAAACAGATTTACTCAAGACAGATACGTCAACTAATTTAGATTCTAATTCAGTTCAAATCCCATCCTCTTCATCAGCATTAAAATCTCAATTCGATATAATGGTAGAAAGTATCTCAGATGGAGATCAACTTTTTCAAACACTTATTTTACATGCAGAAAAAACTCAAGAAGCTTTATCTCAACTATCACTTTTTTCTACTTCTATCAATGGTACAATTTCTTATGTAACTGATCTTTCAGCCTTATCAAATCCATTTCGATTTCAGTTTTTTCCTACAACACCCAATGATTCAAATTCTCAAACTAATCTAAACAGTTTAAAAGATTATTTTAAATCTGAATCAGATCGAATCTCATCTTTATTATCCACTAAATCATCATTAAAGAATAGATTATTAGCTTATAAACAAGAAGCTCAATTAGTGATTCAAGGTGGTGAAGATTTTATTAGAGAAGAAGGTGAAAGATTAAAAGATTGGGTGGATACTGAGACTGATAGATTACGAATCGCTTTACAAATGGGCGCTTCTAGACTGTTAACTTATCATGAGTTACCTGAAGAATGGAAAAATAATCGTTATATTCTATCAGGTTATCGTTTTATTCCTTTGGATCGTTGGAGAGAACTCTTGTTCAGTGGTCTACAGTGGCATAACGAAACTAGTATGTTTTCCCTTAAGATTCAATTTACTACGTCACATCACACTCATACTTGTCTTATCTTTTAGTCAACATTCATACTCATCTTATAGGAACCATGTCATTGATTTACTTGTTGTGCTTCCTTTGGCCTACTACTCCTCATACGGATCCATTAAGTTCGAGTATCGGGGACCGATTAATTTCGTTCATCTTTTTGATTTGTGCTATTAAATGTCTTGTTTGTTCTACTGCTTGGCATCTGTTTGCTGGGTGTGGTACACTTGGTCCTTTCAGAAGATTAGCATGTGTAGATTGTAAGTGCCTTTTTAGATTTGACGAAAACTCATCAACTCTGACAAAAGTTGATTGGTGAATCTTTCTTTGAATCTTTAGATGTAGGAATTTCCGGATTGATTGCTGCTTCAGTAGCTTCAAGCGAGGTAAATCTCTACCTAATCATAAACCAGAGCAGTTTTCGTTGACTGACTTGATTATCTATCCAACCAAACCAAAGTATTATGGATTTTATTGTAGACCAGGCTTAGCAAATCTTTATATAACATTTACAACCATAATGGGCATCATTGGAATGATTTTACCTTTCCAACCGTTTTTCGATCGACCTGAATCGAAATATATTCGAATCATCTTTTTCGTTTCAATGGCTTCTTCTGCCTTAATTCCTCAAGCTCATATGGCATACTTATATGGATTACAAGAAACCGTTGAATTTTATAGTTGAGTTTTTTTCCATTCCTCTCACTTCCAATCGATTTCTTTTAAACTGATTTTTTGCTTGCTTGCGTTTCAATAGAACCTGCAATGCCATCTATCTTTTCTTACTTAGCTGGACTTTTCTTTTATGCAACTAATTGGCCTGAAAGAATTAAACCAGGTTGGGTGTTTGATACTTTGTTTCATTCACACCAGTTTTGGCATGTGGCGATTGTAGCGGCGATTTGGTTACATTGGAGAGCAATTGGAGTGTTTCATTCGATTGGTCGAACTGGCTTTTCTTGTGCTGCTACTGAGCTTTGAGTTTATATTAAAGTTTGATTTTTTTTGGTTCTACATCTCATCTTGTATTTCTTTCTGCTTTTTTCTTTCGCTTGAATTATACTTTTTTTTTCTGAAAAAAACTTTACAACTTGATGAATTGTTTTTTTGTTTGACTTTTTGATTTCTTATTACTCATTCTTTTACTCATCATGTATCGTTTTTTTTTATTTTCTTCGTTTGATTCTATTCAATCTCAATTTTTTACTTTTACATTATTCTTATCATTCATCATTGCTAACCTATTAAATCGCAATTGATTTTGTTCCTTTTGAACCTTTGACTTTTTCTTTCTCTCTCTATTCTATCTATATTAAGCAATTATTGTTTTTTGTTTGTTTGATTGATTGCAATTCTATATCTATATAGATGTCTTCGTATTCTGTTAAAATTTTCTTACCAAGGTTTTTGAAGAAAACTAATAAATCATTGGATCAAAATTCTTGATTAAGATTTTCATGTTATCATGAAGCCCACAGTTAACACTGCGTGACATTGACAACAGAAAGTATATATCCAGTGGGAAAATTGATCATATTTAGAGCAACAAGTGATTGAAAATGTCTTAAATCAGTATTTATGGTGTTCAAACATGCGCAAGAAATTTGCAAGTTGCGAGAAAGTTCTGTGCAAGTTCTTTTAAACATCTTGCATAGAACTTGCACAAAACTTGCAGACTTAAGAAAGTTATGTGTGAACCTAGGCTTCCCTGCTTCGAGGACTCAGCTTGCCCTTGATGAGAAAGGGTAAATACATACAGCAGGGGGTTGTGAAAAAATTAATTAAGCAAGATCTGTGCAAGATTTCTTGCACGGATCTTGCACATCGGTTTTGCAAATTTCTTGCACATGTTTGAACGCCATAAATCAATCAACCTTTTTGATTATTTGATGCATTGAATGAAATCATTGAGCAGTACACAAAGATCTCAACCTAACCTCAAAAATTGTTCCAAAAAGCCCATGGCAACCCAATTGATTTTGAGTTTTTAGCCCTAAGAAATCCAAAAATCCATTGGGTTGCCATTGCCATGGGTTTTATTAAATATCAGGTTGGGTTGAGATGTTCTTGTACCACTATTTTTTCCACAGGGATTACTGTATGCTGGTAGCAACACAGCAGCAGGTATTGTACCAGTATAGGATACCCATACTGGAGTTCTTTTTAAAATACTCAAAAGTTAAAGGTACTCAACCTGTGAACAGGTATTGTATACAGAGTACCCTGTACTCTGAAAATCTTCATAGAGTACAGTACTTTTGTCCACCCCATAATACTGTACTACATATACTACATAGTATCATGGGGCAGTATTTAGGTACGGTACTGTATTGTACAGTACCTGCTTAAGTAGCTGGCACTCACGCTCACACCTGGTGCCACAAAGCCACAAGGCGCCCTGATAGGGCACATGGCAAGGGCCAGGGCTTAGGCCACCCATGGCACTCACCCCAACCTGTTCATGGCCTTCACAGGGCATGAAATTCAGTTCAAGCCCTCCTAAAGATTGTCTTAAGCAGGGAGTAGCAGCTAAAAAGATCTGAGGTTGTTTAAATGGAAGGCCACACGGGGCCACACCACGCCACACCATGGCCCTGGCCTGGGTGACGAAAAAGGTGCCGGGTGTGAGTGTGAGCTGGCACTGCTAGCATTAAAGAGGTTCCTTGATGGGGATGTGATTGAGAGTGCACTAGTTCAGCAAATCATCTTGCACTGCACACTTGAGCTACAAAGCATAGTTATGTATGTGCAAACATCTGAGTAAATCCTTAGCTATCATCTACATGCAAGATTGCTCATTTCCTTGCTCATATAGATAAGCAAATCACATGTGATACATTGCATAACTTTGTTTGGATTGAGACACACATCTGGAAAACTTGACTATATATTTCACCATGGCTACTCTGGAAATGTTTGTGAAGTTGTTTGACAGTAACAGAAAGAGAATGTGGTCACCAAGACCAATTCTCCCATTGAGGAACCCCTTTAATGCTGGCAGTGTGGCACATTGAGTTCAAATTAAACACATAACACAAGATATTAAAGAGACACAAAAAGTGAAGTCGAATATTATTCAGAAGCTTGATATTAAGGAAACAAAAAGACATTAAGAAAAAGAAAAACTAGAGATAAATGAAATATTATTGAAATAGTTGAAAAGTCATTGATTCTTCAAAAGGTTCTACATTGTGATGAGAATATCAAATCTGATTTGATTTGAAATGGGCTTATGACCTTCTGATGAATCAAGGTGTTTTAAATAACCAATCAATTATACATTTAGCATTGAATGATTTTCAAAGGAAAATTATCCTAATATACACTTCCTGCACAGGCTTAAAACAGACCCTCCACTATCATATCAATGGGGTCCGGGACAGCAAGTAGAGAACAGCTTGAGTACAATGTGACATGATGGGAATAGATGTTTGGTTCCCTCAACTTGTTCAACCAAGCTGAAAACACATACGTTATGTACCCCATATTGGATCAATCTGCAAGTTGTGTAATGAGAGGAGGTTCACAACAAGTCAAGTTGTTATCCTATTTGCCTAGCATAGGAACATAGTGGTCTTGATCAAGGTCAAAGAACAGTGATAGCAAGGCGGAAGACATATTCTCATTGCATCACACTCAAGGAAGCCAAAGGGACAACCGGTCTGAATTACAGAATGGTTGTCTGTCTTGGCTGATGGCAACATTGTCACAACAAGCTGAGCACACCCAGATACCCAATATGTACATGAATCTGATTTGTCTGTTGGGGATTGCACCAAGGTGTGTGAATGGAGTGTTGAGCTTGGAATATGTAGGGATTGGAGGAAAAGCCTTAAAATGGATTCACAGTTTCAGAGGCCCTTTGAGGTCTGTTTGATGCATCCCCCCAAAAAATAAGTGTGTACACCGTCAAACAATGTATAAGCAAGAGGTTGGATTTGGCTGGCATCTCTACCTTCCTGCTGATTGTTGGGGTTTCACCAAACCTTTTCTTTAAATGAGTTGGAGTATACACAACCATTGCTTTCTTGTTAAAGGGAGGTCTTTGCTGCCATAGAAGGCATTGTGAGACTTTTGATACATCTGATTCATTTTGTAAAATATGATGGATGCATTGGTTATCAAAAGGAGACGAGTATTGTGTTATAACCTAGATGACAGTGTGTTTGCACTGAAATGCTTATGTTCAATATTTTTGATAGTTTGTAATGTGGATTTTATGTCTGAATTTGGACAAATGGGTTCATGCTACAAATATATAGACAAACAATATGATAACAAGATTTCAAATACAACATAACAAAACGCTTCGAGTGAAAATATATGAACTTCCAGATTTTGTTATTTATGCAGAAAGAAGTCTGAAACTCTTAAGATTATCTAGATAATAGTTAATTTGAGTCGATCTAAAATCATCAGAAATAGTTCCAGTGGAACCAGACGATTCGAATTGAAGTATGTTCCCTTTGAAATCATCTGTGCCACTTTCACCTCCATATTTCTCCCATTTAGGTAATCCTTGTACATTTGGATCCAGTGTATTAGCAAATGATATCCAACGAGCTTGAAAATCATCAGCTCGTGGTCCTGGAATGATATTGAAAGTTGACAAAAGTTCAATGGCGTGTGTTGAACCTGGAAGCAAACACAGATATTAGGATTCTATGTGGAGGGTTCTATAGATGGTGAATGCTTCTTACCAAGAATAGGAAGTGATTTCATTCCTCGGTCAATATAACCCCAAGTTGGCATTTGTCTGTTCACTTGCCTGGAAACTAAGCGACGTAATCCCTGTTGACAGACAATGATTTATCAGCTCAAGATGCTGTCGTACAAAACCGACATGGCCTCGCGTACCTGAAATCCTACGTCTCCAAACATAGCTGAGCGAAGTGAGAAAGTTAATGATGAGATTCACATTGTTTTCTTCAAAAGATGATTTTTGTGCTCTTACCTGCATATTGTTTGAATACAGGAGTGATAGCGTTAAGGACTCCAGTGTTGAAAGGTGAACCTTGAGTTGGATCTTCAGGGTAACCACTGATGAGGATATTGATTTGTTCTTGGGTGGCTTTGGGTACCAAGCGAGCAAGATCTGGTGTAATGACTCATTGGATCAGTGTACATTTATATGTATCTATATCTTTCGCACTTACATGGCTTTAAATTTTCTTCAGTGATGATTGTAGAAGTTACTCCCAACGTTAACAATGTGCCTTCGTCATCTTGTGCTCCGGTTATCAATGGTACACGTGCAACTAAACAAAAGGGAAAAAATCTTTCAGTTTGTGATGCTTTATGAAATGATTTCCGAACCATATCAGGACTGACATTTTCCAGCCGCAAGGTTATCTTCCATACTACCGGTCACAAATTCTCCTACAAGTCAAAAATTACTCATCAACACCAGTTGTATTTGATTACTAAGTAACAAAAAAGACTGACCATCAACGTACGCTAAAGGATGTGACGTAAGGAATTGCAGGGATTAGAAATCATTAATCTCGAACGCAAAAGAACGGCGATATCACAGCTAAGAGATTCGACTTACGTGCATAAGCCAACGGGAAAGATCCACCAGAAAGAAATCCAGGTAATCGATTAGACGCAGCGCTAAATGAAAGAGTACCATGAGTATTAAAGCATAATATTATTTTGATAGAAAAAGTCCTAACAATAAAGTAGCATAATCCACAGTTCTCAAACACCCCAAAGTGTCAGGCTTGTTATCGCATCCGGTGTCTTTCAAAATGGCATCATAAGTAGTTTGACCGGCTCCTTCAGCCAAAGCTAAAAAAAAACAGAAAAAAACGTGAGATGAATTGGTTTGTCAATATCCGAAAAAAGTTGAGTTAGATTGACTTACTTCCAACTGGAAATGCACTACCAGATTCACAAATTGCAGCTCTAAAAAGTCCTTCGTTGTTTCCATTGTTGATAAAAAGATGATGAGAAGTAGAGATAGCACCAGCTGAAACAATATCCATCTTATCAGTTTTGATTCACTTGTGTCTCTTGGGGTATCAAGTTTGCTTACAAGATTCACCGAAAAGCATGACTTTAGTAGGATCTCCACCAAATGGTGTGATATATTTCTATACAACAAAACAAATCAGGATTTCTGTCAAAATTTGTAGGCTTGAAAGTTGTGAAACTTACTTGAACCCATTTCATAGCCAGACGTTGATCTTTCAAACCAAGATTACCAATTCCAGCAGCGCCAACTTCTTTACCGCCAAGAAATCCAAAAGCCTAAAGAAAAGCAGTATATGTGGGTCTTGGAAAATAGTTAATACCTTTTCAAGAGATGTTATAACTTACACCCATCCTGTGATTCATCGAAACCCAAATAACAGGTTGACCTAAAGTAATACTTTTTTCAACCCATGTATTACCCTGAAGAAGTGTTGATGAACCTAATGCAAAATCTCCTGGGTCTGAAAGTGAATGGCAAAAGTTGATCAATTCCTGAACCTAGATTTAATAATATGTATTGATGGAAATGTAACACTTACAAATCCATAACATGACAGGTAGCTTAGTTCCTTCTTTGATGCCCGTAGGTCGCAAAACCTATTGTAAACCGAAAAAGGCAGATATCATTATTAGTCCATCTAGGTAAGGCTAATTCTGTAACATGAAGGTATTTTTCTCACATCCAAAGTGAGACAATCTTCTTGACCACCGAGAGTCGGAGCATAAATTGGTAGTCTATCTAATTCATCAGTAAGAACAGTAGCGATATCAAAGATTGGATTTCCTCCTCCAGTGGCAAGCTGTTGAGGACAACTAGGTGGAGTTCTCTATGCAAGAGAAGAATACCAAACAGATAAAGATTTGTGAGTCATAATCGCAAGGTCGATAAAAGAAAGATTGAGGAGGAAATCAAAGAAAACGAACCGTAGCATCAAAATTGGGATACTTTCCTAAGGGAAAAATGGGATTTGTTAATCTACGTGAGCCAACAGGAGGTTCGGCCTATGAAAAAATCCAAGTAAATTCCAAACAACTTGAGCAAGAGGAAAACCAAAATGAATGTGATGAGGAAATGATTTACATAAGGGATTCCATAAAATTGATCGACACTTTTATTCGTGTTTCCATTGAAATCTCCATAATCCAAAACAACTTTGATAGATCCTGTTCCAGAAGGTACCTCTGGCATCTTTGGTTTATCAATTGGTAATGAGTTTTGAGTGACTTGGTCGACCAAGGGACCTAGTACGGGAAGATCACCCAAACCAAGCAGACCACTTCGTCGAGAAAAACTTTTCACGTCTATTGATATAAGTAATATGCAATGTAAGTGAAAGAGTAATGCCTTGATCTGATTTCAGTGATTAAACTTACCTGATTGCGGTAAAATAGCAGTAGATGCATATTGAAGGCCAGCAAGGCTAAAAATGAGGTGTAATGGACCTACCATGTTGGTGTATGTTTTAAATAAGAAAAACGGTCCTGATATAATCAAAAGGTATATGAAAAGTTTGTATAACACGCCTATTCGTAACAACAAAGAAAGAGATGGCTAAGAGGAGACGAATAAAACCTTCTTCAATGCTGCACTACTTGAATGCATTTCACAGCACGCCTGAATTGGCATAAAAACCAGGCATATGAAGATCCAAGTTCATAACAAATCGAAGGAGGTGGATGTACTAAAGTCTTTTTTTCTTATTTTGTAGACTGGACTAGATATATTTGTTAAATCAAATGGGAATGAATTTTGTCTTATTTCGCAAATCTTTTGTTCTCTCTTCGAGCCTATTGATTTTCAACTGAAGCAAGATGGACTGGATATCAAATGAGATGAGTCAAATAGGTAAGATGATGATTAGTCGATCCTAAGGAGATTGCCACTTTTTTGCAAGCTTGTCCCACTCCCACCAAGTGAGACCGGACAGATACTCTCTTGAAAATTCATGAACCGACTTGAACGTTGACATACTCGTCATTTCATGATTCTGCTCTTACTTTACTCGGACGAGTTAGACTTGCTGACCTCATGAATTTTGATAGAATGCTTGTGACTATGAATTGTCGGCTTCTTGTACTCATGATGCACAGGTGACTTCTTGCCCTCCAAGTTGCCACGAGTCAAGTTAACATCGTTTTCTCTTTATGTAGACAGTTCTCTTCACATTGAAAACCTCTAGGCGATTATGTGCTAAATGATTTAAGAATGAAAATATACAGGGTGAAAGACTGTGAAAGATAATCGAAACTTGCGCCAAGAAAGAAAAAAAAAGGTTTGAATCCCGTTTGATTAAGTGAGACATGATAGCTTAAGATGAGCTTAAACCTATGTACTTAAGTCTAAATTCAAGATACATATAGTTTTGATTTTGGGGTGTGTATATAAGGAAATAGAAGAACACGCGTCATTGAGTGTGTTTTAATCTTTGGTTTGAGATTCGAGAAGCTGATCAATGATGCATGTGTGAGCCCTTTTAAACCCTGAAGAAGAGCTCTGTGATGCAGTTTCAATTAGACTTCCTTCAGCTTTCAGGTCAATGCCCAATGAATGTGCCAAAGGTTGAAATGACATGGATTGATTTATCAAAGTGTCCTCATCTTCTACATATAATTCAGACAACAATTCCAAATCAAGTAATATCTTAAGCTCAAGTTCTCAATGAACTGGACCAAGGCAAGCACCTGATTGGAGGGGGTTATCACACGCACTCTCTTGCGGATCTGATCCACCAATTCACATGGGATGATATGAAACGACTGAAAAGTAGGAGTTGAATGAATCAAATTATTATAGAAGCGACTTTGCTGGCAGTTCAAATTGAGTGTGATGATATGATCACAAGAAGGTTAGGGGAGCTCAGGTCAAGATATTTACGGTGTTTTCTCTGGCAAATGTTTACTTACCTTTGCCATACAGACGTTCGTTGAAGCCACAGCTTGTGTTGAGGGAAATGGCCCAACTGGGAGCAGAATACAAACAAGTTAATACCAAACTTCAACAACATCAACTAAAATGTTTATCTTTTCCCAGCATTGATAGTTCCATTGATGTGATGATCAATTGGCTCAACAAGTACCAACACAAGGCCGCGGAATGTGACACCATAGTGTTGGCTACAGTTCTGAATCCCCAATATCAACGCAAATTCTTTTCTCTTCATTATCACAAATACAATTTTTCTTCTGTACTCTTGATTGAGAAAGTTTTCACCGACCTGTTGGATGATACAGAAGCTGAGCAACACAAGCATCACCATCACCATCACCTGACAAGCCTACGGATTCTGTCAAGGCTGATGTGTAACTGTTTGACGTATTTGGAGGATGCCCAAGCAAACAATTTGTCCAACTCAGAGCTGGAGGAGTACTTGGGTGGCCAATTTCCAATCAGTAAAAACCAATCCCCCCTCAAGTGGTGGAAGGATGGTCTCCTTTTTTTGCTTCACATCCTACTATAATCTGACTTAAACTTTCTCTTTTCTTTGTTCAACACATGTGTCATCACCATTTCCCTATTCTTGCCAAACTTGCCCATGATTACCTTTTGGTTTCAGCCACCTCTGAGTCCCGTGCTTGCAAGCAGACATTCTCAGCCGCTGCTGATGTCTGCACTCCATCTCAAGGTAGTATGCTCCCCAAAACTATGGAGTGTTTGGTCAGCTCTCAAGCTTGGTTGAAGCAAGGGATCCTCCCTGAAGGACAATTTGAAGAAGCAGCCAAAGTATCTCAATCCTATGTAGACATGATAGCAAAAAAATTGAAACAGGCGAAAAAGGGATAGTATAGTAATTCCAGCTCCTTTCTATTGGTAATATTCCCACATTGCCCATTTCTTTTTCTTTTCAATGTCAGTTAATTGGTTTTCTTGTTTCTTTTTCTTGTTTCTCTTGATTTCTATAGCCCATATAGAAGAATCCACCCCACTCTTCTACCTCACCCAGCACTGAATGTTGGGTAGGTACACATGGGGTTTGGGAGGAATTTGTTTTGTTTTATTTCAGCTCAAATAGTGTGTTACATAGTGCATAGCACGCTATATAAGCACTAAGAGTATTTCTCCATAGAGCGCGCTATATAGCAAAATTATAGTGTGATCACCGCTGCAATATCTTGAGCAGGTAAATTCCTTGAATAAGTGCGGAGCCATAGTGCTCCCACTCATGGTGCAGGCTCTGCACCACTAATGAAAAGGCCCAATTTCTTTTGCGTTGTGAAGCAATTTAAGTTCCAGCTCTTTGCTGTTGAGGCAAATTGTGAGAGGGGTGGCAAAAAACATCCCCAAATTGATTGATATACATGTACATGGTCATGTACAAGACTTCCTGCCATAAACTCCTCCATATTCCTCCTGGGGTGACCAAATCAATGAGAAACATGAGTGTTCACATACAATCCACAATTACATATATAAATATGTCTTGTACTGGAAGGCTGTAGGGAACAAAAATACAAGGAAGCATGTGTTGGAAAGGAATATCAAATTCAATGTATATGTATATTCATAAAGATTGAAGATACTCAAGATCCAACTCTTGAGTATAAGCCGTTCTCAAAGTTGACCCAGTTACAAAAAACCCGGTTGACCCACTCGACTTTTTGGCTGTGAGCTGTCAACAAATGTCAACTTGATTCACAAAGTTACCGCCAAAAAGCAACTGGGTCAACTGTGTTTTCTTGAAACCAGGTCAACTTTGAGCACAGCTATTGTACAAAAATAATATTTCCGTGAGTTTTTTTTAAACCTCAAAAACTTAGGCAATCTGAAACCTAAAGGTCAATAGACTGTATATTCTTGGTGGGGGAATACAGGAGCAGCTCTGTACAAATTTATGATGTAATACAACAGCATCTCAATTTTGGTGGTATCACATATATTGTTGGTGACTGACCATAACATCTTGATAGCAGACATGTGTTATTTTGAAAACATATGGGAATTATCTTGAAAACATTTTGAAGACATGACACACACTGGGCTGCCAGTGATCAGTAGTTGGGGGCTGTAAGTGGTTTTTCATCCTAGAACCTACCATCAACAAGGACATCCAACTCCTTACTTGAACAAGGATCAAGAATTCATGGTGGAAATCATTGATGCCAATGCAAGCCTGTTTCTTGACAAAGTCCAAGCTGCAATATACAACTTCAATTTAGTTTCCTCTCTCTTCTACTTAAACCTTGGGAAGCTTCTGTCCAAGGTTTGGCATCTGAGGATACCTCAGATTTTTCAATCTGAGGTAAATTTGTTGGCAGTGCATTTGTGATATGGAGGCCTTAGACATAGACCTAGCAGTTTTCATCTACTCTTTGATTGTCATGCTCATGAACTGGCTCCTTAGAGAACACAAGACTGACCTTGCATTATATTCCTTTGAAGCTAGGTTAGCACTTGCACTTCTTTTATTCTTTTATATTATTTCCTTTCATTCTCCATTATATTTTTATAGTACCATTGAGGGAACTCGAAACTGATCTTGCATTCTATTCCTATGGAGGCAGTCAGATTCTAGTAATTATTAAACCATACACACTTTGGTTCCAGAATCATCAAGTCCACCACGCGGCATCAGACCCTCAGTTCCCTCTGTGGGAATCATTTCTAGTGAGGAAATTCCAGTCCTTGCCGCTTTGGCACCCTTCTGAGCCCCCCAGATCACCTTTTGTCACCAACAACCCCTCAAACCCGGTGTTGTTCTGCCCCTTCTGGCTGGACCGTGAGCACACCGCTCAGGTTAAGGCAGGTTCCAGTCACTATTCTCACAAATTTTGTGACTGGAACAGGTTTTTGACCATCATCCCATCAGAATTCCCGGACAGGTTTCCAGACCCATCCGAGGCCGAGGAACTTTACCCCCTGGTGTAACCAATGCTTAAACATCTCTTCAACTTGCTATGTAAGTACATAAAAAAGTCTACATAGTCTACTTCTAAACTATATTACATATGTAAGTACTCAGTTCTGTTTCTTCGACATGATCTTTTAGCATGTGCGTATGGAAAAAGAAGAAAGAATCAAATACTCGTGGGGATAGTGATGTAATGTTGAGGTAGATTGAGGTATGAAATATAGGATAATTCAATTCACGATTTCCGGAGATTTCCGGTCACGGTGCTAATTCCGGTGATTGTGATAGCCGAGTAGTAAATTGTATGGATTGATTGTGTTTAAGTTTAACCCTTTTGCACCTCTCGTTACCTGTTTACCTCAATCGATTGAGTTGAGTTCGACTCCAGTGTTACTTTACTAATTATCCTTACATTACTTCTGCTCTGGTCAGTGAATTTCAGTATCCTAGACATGACTTCTTAATGATAGCTTTTTGATTGATTTCCATACTGACTGAGTTGATCGACAATCTTTTGGATCATGGTTGACTATTATCAATAGAAGTTTGTAAGATACGCTTTCGATCAAGAATAATCGGGGTTTATTGAGACTCTTGACTAACAAAAGACGACCTAGTAGAATTGGAAAGTGAAGAGGTTATACAAGTTGAAGTGTTTCAGAAGGTAAGTGACGTCATATTTGAGGTGGTCATGTAAACCTAATTCGATCACTTCCTATCACCTTCACCATTCACTCGTCTGATTCATTTTTTCATCTCAGATTCTTTTAACTTGACCAGAGTCAATCGAATCGAAAGACTATCCTAATCTCACTCTTGTTTACCATCAAGAAGCTTTATCAGTCTAGTCTCACGACTTTCCATCACATCCAGGATTTTCTTTAGCCCTCTTGACTTGAGTTTACAAGATGAGTCGTCCGACTAAAGTTACGATGCCAACGGTTAATCCCATTCAAGAATCCTTCTCGAATGGTGGTCACGGCGGAATCGATATGAGAGGTGGAAAGACTCACTCGAGTCAAGCTTCAAGGAGTTCGATCATTAGGGATTTCTCAAAGTTTTGTCCATTCCCCACACCTGGTCTTAAAGAACATAATCATTTTGCAGAATATAAATCTGTAGAAGAACAACGTATAGATGAAGATATTGCAAAGCTTAAGCATTGGAAACGATGGGGTCCTTATCTATCTGAACGACAATGGGCTACTGTTCGAGAGGATTATAGTGAAAACGGAGATGCTTGGACTCATTTCCCCCATGAACATGCTAGAAGTCGTGCTTATAGATGGGGTGAAGATGGTCTTGGTGGAATCTCTGATAATCATGGTCGATTGGCTCTCTCTTTTGCACTCTGGAATGAAAAGGATCCGATCTTGAAAGAACGTTTGTTTGGGGTCACTGGTCATCAAGGCGAGTTCCAAGGCAGATCATGTTGCTCCAATTTTGGTTTTCCTACTAACCTTTCAATTTTTCCCTTAATCTTTCCACGCAGGCAATCACGGCGAAGACGTAAAAGAGGTCTACTATTACCTTGACTCATCTCCGACGCATTCTTATATGAAGTACCTTTATAAATATCCTCAAAGAGAGTTTCCATATGCACAACTCGTACGCGAGTCAGCCAATCGAAGTAGAGATGTAGCAGAATACGAAATTCTTGATACGGATGCCTTCGATGATAATCGCTATTGGGATATTTTCGTTGAGGTACTTATAACATTCTAGTGCTTTTTTTCGTTGGCTTTGCTAACCAGACCACGTTGTAAACACGCCTCGATCATCACACAGTATGCGAAAGACGAGGACAACGAGAATGCGATGTCTATTCGAATCGCGGCCTATAACCGTGGTCCGGAACCAGCAACTATACATATCGTTCCTCAAGCATGGTTTCGAAACACCTGGTCATGGCCAAAAGAGCGACCGGAAGGTAAAAAAATGCCTTCGATGAATCTCTCTCCCACCGAGCAAGGATCGGAAACCTCCCCTTACGTAGTTGAGATCAATCATAGTGAATTAAAGGAGAAGTTTTATTTGTATGCTAATCCAAGTCCTGCTGCTGCAAGTGCGCCTAGTAAGCAAGGAGAAGTGGTCGAAACTGAAGAAGTAGTCCTACCCGAGATGCTTTTCACCGAAAACGAAACGAACTTTGAGAGATTATATGGAGGTCAGAATCGATCATATGCCAAAGATGCATTTCATGATCATATCATTCCTAGTCATCGCCCTGAATCTGATAGGCCAAAGATCAAAGTGGTCAGGATTCCCAAATCTGGTGATCAAACTTCCGCTCAAGGATCGCCTGATTTGAATGAAGAAGTCAAGATTGAAAAATCATCGTCTGGAGTTGAATCTGGTGTGTTTGATTCTACTGTCTTCCGCCATGTTGAAACTGATGTGTCCGACTCTACTGTAGCACAAGCTGGCTCTGATGGATCTAACTCTACCACACCTACTGGAAAACCTTCTACTCCGCCCGAACCCGAGTATATAGAGGTTGAAGAATTAGAAGAACCATACGTACCGCGCCAGTATGTAAATCCAGAGATGAAAGGAACAAAAGTCGGGGCCCATTACGTCTTCAAAGATGTACCACCTCGCGGTGGATGTGCTGTAGTTAGATTCAAGCTGACTAACAAAACATCAGAAGAAGACCCGTCAATTGCAGACGAAGAAAGCTTTGATATTAAATTAGAAGAACGTAGAGAAGATGCAGATGAGTTTTATGCGAGATTCAACCCAGGTTCGGGGCTTAGTGAAGATTTAAGAAATATCATGAGGCAAGCTTTAGGTGGAATGTTATGGACCAAACAATTCTATTACTTTGTGCAAAAAGAATGGATCGAAGGTGATCCTGGTCAACCTGCTCCACCGCCTGGAAGGAAATGGATTCGTAATAAGGATTGGAAACACATGCATATCGAGGATATCTTGTCTATGCCTGATAAATGGGAGGTGAGTGATGCTTTTTTGTTCTGACACGTGAATTAGGATGCTGAGATCAAATATAATCGATTCTTTTTATCAGTATCCATTCTTTGCCGCTTGGGATACGGCGTTTCACTGTATCCCTCTAGCGATGGTTGATCCTTCTTACGCGAAAAATCAACTGGACATCATGACCCGTGAATGGTACATGAAACCCGATGGGGCACTTCCGGCCTATGAATGGAAGTGGGTATCTATGACAAGTTGATCGATATGATGAGAATCATCAATTAACCTTGTGAATTGTTCGTGCTCCTTGATTTAGTTTTAGTGATGTCAACCCTCCGGTACACGCTTGGGCCACATTCAGAGTGTTTAAAATTGAGCGTAAGATGTATGGACGTGAAGATTTGCCATTCTTGGAAAGAGTCTTCCAAAAGCTTTTACTTAACTTTACTTGGTATGTCTCTGTCTCGAGGCGGCGTTTTTGACGCTTTCGTTGGCTTCATTGATTTACTAAACACCCTTTGGTTTTGGCTGGTGTAATTGTGGAACAGGTGGGTAAATCGTAAAGATGCGAGTGGACAAAACGTATTCGAAGGTGGGTTCTTGGGACTTGATAATATTGGAGTCTTCAATCGATCAGAACCGCTTCCCACGGGTGGAACGTTACGACAAGCCGATGGAACTGCTTGGATGGGATTCTTTGCGTTGAACATGCTCAATATGGCCTTAGAGTTAGCCAAGCATAATCCAGTTTATGAAGATATTGCATCAAAATTCTTTGAACATTTCCTTTTTATCTCTGAGTGAGTTTAATTTCTTGTATCATTTTAATTTGCCCATCTTGAATGTGTTGTTGGCTTTTGTATCTGACGGGTTTAATTTCGTTAATCAGAGCAATGACTTTCGGGGATCCTAACGATGAACAGTCGAGTTTATGGAATGACGAAGACGGGTTTTACTACGACGCAATCAGTTGGGGAGTAGGCCACTCACGACAGTTACCTGTGAGGTCCTTAGTGGGGTTGATCCCACTATATGCAACCTTGACGCTTGAGCCAGGAGTCTTGAAACGATTTCCGGGATTTAAGAAGCGTATGGATTGGTTCATTGAGAATCGACCTGAATTAGCTTCAAAGAATATCATTGCTAATATGAGAGGAGTAGGAAAGAATGAGAGAAAGCTATTGGCACTTGCTAATGAGAAAAGACTGAAGAGTATCTTAGAGAGGATGTTGGATGAGACTGAGTTCTTGAGCGCTTATGGAATTCGATCGTTTGTGGTTTTTATATTTTCTTTTCTCCTGCTTGATCTCATACTGAAGATAAGAAGCTGATCAAGAATTATCATAGTTTATCTTTGCATCATAAAGACCATCCTTTCAAGATGGAAGTCAATGGAGAGGAGTTTAGTGTCGATTACTGGCCTGGTGACTCAAAGAGTGGGATGTTCGGAGGCAATTCGAATTGGAGAGGACCTATTTGGCTCGCGACGACGTTCTTATTGATTGAGAGCTTACAGCGATTCTACCAGGTAAGATTATTCATGTCATTTTCCCTTGCTTCTTTGCCTGACACCCGACCTTTCATCTGTTTTGCTCATCTTTTGGTACGTTGATTGTAGTATTATGGAACGACTCTACAAATTGAATGTCCTAAAGGAAGCGGAGATATGATGAATTTGGCAGGGGTTGCGGATGAGATTCAACATCGAATCATTCATCTCTTTGCTCGTGATCCTGAAGGTAGACGAGCTTATAATGGTGGAATGGACAGATTAGATAAAGATCCATTCTTTCGTGATCATATTTTATTTCATGAAGTAGGGTTTCTTCTTACTCCTATCCATTGTTGACCGATGAATTGAAAGGATAATCTTTTAGTTCTTTCACGCAGATACCGGCAAAGGCTTAGGAGCCTCACATCAAACTGGTTGGACGGGTTTAGTAGCTTGGATGATCTTCCAAACTGGGTCTTCTGCTAGATTACCACGTACACCAAGGACTCCAAGATCGGCTGCTGATCATTATTTTGCTGAGAGTGTCCCAGCTACTCCGGCTGCTAGTGAGCATGGTAGTGAAATGGGCAGTGAGTATGTCTCGAGTGGAGGACGTGCAGGAAATCAACAGGCTGGAGCCGAGTTATCGCCTGATGAGGTAAGGTTTCATTTTTATTTTCTAGCTCTCGTTTTCGAAGATAGTCAATGAACTGATGATTGATGTTTTGGTACTTGATTGGGATTAGTTATGATTGGTAGATTGGGCTGTTTTTTAAAATGACGATTTCAAACATTTCAAAAATCTTTTGCATGGTTAATGTTGTTGTGTTTGTTTAGCAAAAAAGTATGAATGTAAGATGAAGATGAAGTTGATAGTTTATTTTTTGATCACTTAAGATTATCGTTTTTTTCATTACACTTCATGACACATAGAGTATGATGAAAATTTGTTTTGATTGATATGTAGAAACAAAAGAAGGGGAAAATAGATAAAGGATAGAGATGATACATCATAGAAGGAGTTTCTTTTTTCATGATATGAATCTTTTGTTATGATGATGATGACTTTTCTGATTGATTTTTTTTCTATGATTGTAATTTTGAAGTTTGACCTATTTTGAGTTGTGATTCTGGTTTTGATTGAAACGAAATGAAGGTTATGTTCAAATGAGGTTTTTATTATTTTTGGTATTAACGATCATTGAGAGTGATTGGAATCAACAAAATGAGATATATTTCGATAAAAAAATCAAGGTCCCTGTTTATTTACTGCCTCTGACCTGGGTAAACATTTGATTGCGGACTTTGTGGTGGGTTCAAATCAAATATTGATGAGGAAACTGTCTTGATAGGAAACATTCATTATATATAGCAAGTAACCTCAAGTATAACCACAACACACATATATAGAATGCTAGAAGGAAAAACACAGCAACTACAACATTACATGAAAAGGGAAGTTGGTGATGACGTCATTGCCTGGAACAGAAATTAATAATCTGAATAAAAGCATTGGTGCGGCTTGTAGCATTAATTCCTCAGAAATGATGGGAATCTTTGAACGTGTTTTTCTCATTTGAGGTATGTGGAAGCAATGCTATCAAGATTAATGGCTAGGTATTGTAAATAAAATAAAGAGAGCCTGCATTGGTTGACTTTTTATTGTTTTTATAAGGTATGATGTCCAATGACTGAAGGTGAAAATGGGAAATAATGAAATGTGAGGAGTTAGATTTCATTGGCATTGCTCGCTTTCAAGATCTTGGTATTTGTAGATATGAAAAACAAGTTGACTTTGCATTCCAAAGACGAAATCAAGAAGAGTGGAAATATTACATACGGAAAAGACAATAGTAAGGTAGAGATAGATCTAGCAGGTTATCACTGACTCGGGCTTGATCCTCACACTTTCAAGCGATCACTCCCAAAGACTTTGACCACTCTATCCTAGACGAAAGGTTTCAATCAGACTCAAGCACATCACCATGGGTATAAATTGCAAGACTTCATTCAAATGAGACAGATGATCTACTCCAAAATCGCTCTACCATGGACAAGAAAGCTCTTGCTTTGGCCCGCTACATCAAACTCAACCTTCTGAATCGTGTTATTTCTTTTCTGTAATTTTGCTGCTGTGCCGCCTACCAGGTTCTAAACGCTATTCAAGTCAGTCCCATCTTGATTAGGCACAAAAGTTAGTCATGCCATCATCAATTGTGATATGTTTACATCAATATGATTTCAAGCAGTTTACAGGCATTGGTTGTTTGAGCTGATATACAGATTCAATACTTCATGATGACTTGAGCTAGTTTGATTGGAAGATAACAAGAAAGCATCAAGACTTTCAATCCTTCCCCTTCATATATCTAACTAAAATCCTTTCCGGATAGCTTCCCATATACCTATATATATACTTATATTCATCAACAATCATTATGATATGTTTGTGATTGATTGAGAAGGATAAGTTTGTTTGATTATGTCATGCGTTAGGGTCGGAATTTGGCAGGGAGGTGATTGGTTGAACTCGGTTGAACAAACTCGAACAAACCAACCAAATTAGTATAAAAAATCAAAACTTGCCTAATTGAGCAATTATGTGATCTTCGAACCAAAGGCTCAAGCGCAACATTACGTAAATTAAAGGTGAAACTCAGTTTTTGAGAACAGTACTTTCTTAAAATGCCTTTTGTGTGAACTTTTATTTAATGTGTTTTTTTGCATCGCCTTTCGACTTGGCTTGATTACCATCAACATTCTCGACTCATCATCATTTATATCAACTTCATCACTCAATCTCTCAATACTAAACGACATACGAAATGCTTTCTCTTGCTTTTGCCACATGTGCCCTCGTCATTAGCCATGCTTTAGCTGCCGACTATCGAGTTTGTTCAATTTAGCTTCTCATTCTCAACTACAGATCTATTTTCAAAACTAACTTTTTACGTGTCTCATTATAATTGAATTTCTTTTATCAAAGGTTACTTTAGGTATTTCTCAGCTTACTGGACAAGTAGGAGTCGGTTTCGATCCTAATCGAATCTTACCTGTTGGTATGTCATTTTCAGTGAATCAGATATTTTCAAAATTGACTTACTGATTTGATCAACTTCTTTGACCTTTGTTATGCATAGCTGGCGATACTATCACCTTCACATGGAGTGTACCATCTTATATCAATAACCCACCTACTGGCTCCTACAGTGCCACTCGTACGTCATCAAATCACTTGTCTCTCTGCTGTGACATTGCTGATCAAACTGATTGTTCATTGTAGAGGGATCCTATGGTTCACCTTGTCAACCAATGGCGGGAGGATTTGATAGTGGACCTCGTACTACAGCTGCTGAGAGTTCAGGTAGTGCACCATCAATGGTGTTGTCAGTCCTGCTTCTTTCTTCATTATCTTTCAGCATAGATTGGTTTGAAATTAACTTCCTCTCATTTTTGCTATGTACACAGTCAAGTAAAAGATACCCAGGTTAGTCCTTGTTTATTTTTTATCGATATCGTGGCTGTGTATTCATGATACTGAACTTGCAATCTTTGCATCATTAGCCTTTGTACTTTTACTCTTCCGTGGGTGATCAATGCAAGCAAGGCATGGTTTTAGGTGTCAATAGTGCCGCATCAGGTGATGGCAGTGTCGAATCCTACATCATCGCCGCCGGTGGTAATCCATACCCGGACACGGGAAACTCGAGTTCCACAACGACGACGACAACTACTACCCCGGCATCCACTACGACGAACACAAGTGCTACCATGAACATGACTCATTCGATGACTAACAGTACATCCAACAGTACCATGTCTCATAACTCGACCACCGCTTCTACTAATGCTCGTCCAAGTAGCGCAACCGGTATAATCGTTCCTCAAGCCTTGGTCTTCATGGCCGGTCTTATCTCTGCCCTCGTTTTGTAATCTTTTGTTATGATGGAAATCAAGGATTCGTTGTTATTTCTTCATTTCTTCATGTTTTATCATCTTATCGTTTGATCTAGCATACTACAGCACGACTTTCCTTTTTTTTATTTCAATTCTAATCTGTTTGACGTTTACTTTTTATGAATTGAATTTTGTAAGATTGACGAAGCTACCTATCTCATCTTATCACCAGAGTCCAACTCCAAATTGACCTTCATGGGTCTCCGAGGTCATCTGATCAATTTTTGAACATGTAAGATCATATGAGGCCTGGGTAAAGTGCGGCACCTTTGACAATCGGGGGAGAAGGGTTCTATGTCATCCGGCAAACTTTGGTCTGGTCGATATTGTTGAACAGGCTTTTGGATGATTTATACCTTGATCTCTAGAAAGATGAAGTTGTCGAGTCTTTGGTTTTGTATCTCTTGCTGTTCATCAAGACTCGGTAGTGAAGCAGTTGACTTCACGAGGTGCAATCCTCGCTCAGGTCGTCGAGCTCAAGTCTTGAGAAACGTGACAAGACTCCGTGTGTCTGATCAAGTTCGAGTGATCTTGACCCACCTCGATGATACATAGGAGGGTAAAGGCTCAAAATCATGCTTCATGTGGTCTATAAAGTCCCTATCATTGTTCAGATAAATCAAAATCCTTCATCAAGCTCATCTTCCTGAATCACTCTCAGCTTACCTTAGCCTCCATCACCGTGAAACCCATCATCTGTATCCAGATACCTCAAGAATAAGTCGCATCCTGAATATTCCCGGTCGTCGCCTATCTATAAAGTGTAACCACAGGAGTTTGTTTCCCTTTAGCTGCACCTACACCACGGGGCTGATGGCACGTGACGCTCACGTGAGACATTCAAACACATGCTGTCTACATCGTCATACCCGATGTGAGTTACACCTGCCAGCCAGCATGGGCTACACCCAGTCTGGTCACGTTGCTACAATGTGATGACTCACCCGACAAGCAGGTGAGTCATCTCACCTTGTTAAGGGTGTGAGGCAGGCTGCGTGACAACCAGGGGGGAAGATCGCACACCTGTACTGTACGGAAGTTGTATTGAGCTTGTGAGCATTGGCTCATCCCAGTGCTTTCCCAGCCTCGTGATGGCTGAATAAACACACCAGTTGAATCAGGCGGGGATGTTTCCAACCTTTGCTTGCTGAGTGCACACTATAACAATGATCTGATCTTTGCATTGACAAGGACTACATGTGGTAATTATAGAAACACAAATAACATGGAGAACAGTTAGAAAACAACAAAACTAAGACTAGAACTAAAACTAAAAATAGTCTGTGAGTGAAATTTGATGATTGATTGTAGTGCTTGATAATATGATTCGATGAACTGTTTCTATTGAAGAGGATCATTGAGCAATCAGCCAATGAGTTGATCAGTGAGAGATAAAAAAATGACACAAAGAAAGACCTACAATCTACGAGATCGATCCGGGTGTACGGGGCGATAAGAACCATGAGAACAAAAAGGAAGGGCAACATTGATATCTGGTCGAGAGGAGTCATGATAAATATATGAACAAATTAACAGAAAAGTACCAAAAGGTTAGTCTTCAACTTCATTGAGATATCAGAAGATTGTTCAAGCAGGGGGAGAAGAGGACTTACAAATGAAACAAACAGTCAAAGGGTTTGATGTTAACACTTCAAACAGGAGCAAACCATGACATCAAGCTTCACAGTAAATTGAATGAGATAAATATGAAAGAATGAAAGACTGACAAATGAAATAATCGATCAAAGGACTCCAATATGAATGGAACAGAACTAGAGTCAGCAAATATGAATCTGAAAAAATGAAATTTAAAAGAGTGTTTAGATAGAAAAGAAAGACTTGAATCCAGCCAACTGGTACCTATCAGAATGATGATTTATGCAAAGAAGTCGAATGAATGAGCGCCTCCAAGACAAAGGTGATCGATGTGATGTGATGACCCATGAGTGACAAAGGACTCGAGCGTAGACTGGGGCAGTGGACAAGGTGTAACTGTGGAGTCTGTGACATGTGTCTGTGACGTCATACTTGACAGCATGTGTACCCGGTTCTGAAAATGACACCGGGCTGTGACATTTACACAGCCTGCTTTTGGAAAAGCGGCCTTCGAATTTCAGGATCACTTTGGCCAACAGCTCTTCTTGATCGTTCTTAACCATTAAGCTAGCCCCATTGGGTAAGTCTTTTCTTCTTCTTTGTCATCCAACACTCTCAACTTGATACTAATAGCCTTGTATCTCAATTGTCTTTTGATTGTCTTCTAGGGTTTCAAAGCTATCATCGCCAGTTTGTATCAAAGTAGTTGCTCTCAGCTTTCACTTCCGTTCATCTATTGGGTATACATGTTGATGTTCCAGGTTGTAAGTTTTTTGTTGACTTTTATCTTATACATACCTCTTATGTCTGTGTGTGATGCAAGCAACCCGTGTTTTTTGTGTTTTGTTCTTTTTTGATAGTGTCAATAAGGCTGACATATCTTTTGATAACAAAAATGTTCTCACTGTATAGCGTAATTAGGATACTTTTGTACAATATTGATGTAATTAGCATTTACGGATTCTGTTTTCAATAGGAATCTAAAATGTTCATAATCAGTTACAGTATGAACACAAAATAACCAATTGTGGAGATGCATCAGAAAAAAGAAAAGAAAAGGATCCCAGAATTGATCAATGGGCTTTTTCTTGTTTTGTGTACTTGTCTCAATTCACTTTGTGTTTTACACACATTAAAAAAATACCCATCTGCTCAGCACCCGACGCACATTTGGATGCTAGTTGTCCAAGCTGAGTGTGTGGATGGGAGGTTGTACTGACACATGCCGGCTCACGTGCCGCCCAGGTGCTTAGGACCCAAATCAGCTTGCATGACTGGCATCCAAGTTCATTCGTGTGCTGAGCACCTGGCTTTCAGGCCACGCTCACATGCATCAGCTCACCCGCTGCTCACGGCGAGCTCATATGTAGAACGGGTGGCAAGCTGGGGTGAGGGCCACGTAGCCGCGGTCACACTGCTGCCACCTGTTCTACACAACCACTCGGCGTGGTCATACCCAACTTACGTTTCACGTGGTCCCAGTTCAAAGTCGCCCCGTGGTGTACATCCTGATTGCAAAGAATAAGTCAGATTCTTACGTAGGTTCTTTTCAGTTTGTGCAGTCCCAGACCCTTGATAACCTTGATTCTCATCTAATGCTGATCATCTACTGGGCTCGCTACAGAATGAAATCAATAACATACATATTCTTTATGGCAGCTCACTTTCCGCTTTATGGACATGTGTTGGCAAAACACCAAATAGGTTTCTTTTGCGACTTACCCGCGACCCTCAAACCTTCAAAGGGCATCTGTGGACCGACTGGCCTAGCACCAACGGGAACAGTGGACAATCGGGAGGTCCCTGATCGTGCTGTCAGCCCCTGACAGTCACATGTTTCACTGACCTTTCCTACACCTCTCCCTCACATGACAGGCCCTCACCACCTCTGAATCAACATTTCCCCTGTGTTACAAAGCGGTCGACACCTCACCGACCTGGCCCCTTCCGCAACGGATTCCTGACGGATACCCAAACTCCCGGGGCACCTTTATATCACGACGCGTCCACCACCACCCCTTCTAACCCTCACTTACCTTCCCTCCTTAAACTTCCAATCACCTTCAGCATGGATACCGAGATCTACATCAAACCCGAGTTCTTACGCACTGACCCCAACAAGCCGCTAGCTCTTCCTATCATATTTCACCACACTGGATTTTATTGCCCCGCTTGCCTCGCAGTTGGAAAAGACACCCCCATGAAGTACATCAACTATTTCAACAACACTTGGCGAGTCGCCGTAAGTCGTTTGCCACCTCGCTTCAAACTAGATGTCTTATTTATTGACGGTCTCAACCACTCTTGTTTAGTGCGGCATCACACCTCCCCGCGCCAAGACTGGAGAACCCAAAAACTATGGACACTGGTATCGCCTATGGAAAGACTCCCAGCTGAAGCACGAGCTTCAGTCAATAAATGCGGGGAACTGGCCACCGTTGCCGTATCCAAACCCGTCCCCTGTCGATCACCTGCCGAACACTGCGAACGGTATCCCCAACACAGGCTCACTCACTCCCAGCCGATCGTCCCTAAAGTCAATGTTCACCCCGTTTACTTCAACCGGCAACCATCTAAAGAGTACCACCTCGGCTCAACCACTTTTGTGCCGAGGTGTTCTGGGGAAGACTGGCCAGAGTCACCGTATTGACCAAGCTCGCCAAGGAAACAAGCAATGCATCTACCAAGCCTGTGCCAGCGTAAGTATTTTTTCTTTGGCCCGCGTCCGCGTCTGTACCTAAGTAATCAACTGATTAGTGAAAACTCCTCACTTAGTGCTGTCAAACGCTCGGAGTCCAGCGATGCACCGCCAAAAGGCACGGAAGGCCACAAAATGCCCCACATGCCCCACCTGCGTCTTCGCTCAATCCTAGCCACCCCTTCATGAACAGGAATGAACCCCTCACCCCGGACTTTATCAATCCTTTATTGGCCAGTTCCTCACCTTCTGGTTCGACACCAGCGGCCGCGCCAGCACCAGCACCAGCACCAGCACCTGTAGCATCACATCGTCGCATCGCACTTCAATGCGCACAAACGGGTGGGCGTCTTGCCCACAATCTAAGTAGCACTCAACAAGCTGGCCTTTTTGCCTTACGCCTTCGGCGAAACCAAGAGACGGCTTTCAGCCAAGAAATCGATACTGAGGAAAACAAAGTTGTCAGCGTAATTGCGTGGCTCAAGGTCAGATGACATAGGTGATCACATCTTGGAGATGACTCTAAAAACTGACTGTAGATTCTTATCGTCTTTAGGCGGGACAAGATCCAGAGTTGTTCACCTTTCACGCGCCTAAGTGGCCACTCTTCACCCTTCAGCAGTGTTTTCCCATGGTGGAGAGGGCTATGAACCTTGCCATTTCAAATGGGGAAACTCCTACTGAAAGCCTATCGCTATGGGACCCAGCTTTCACGGCCCGGGTGGGAGCATAACCTTTATTACCGCCAATCCCCAAATTCATACTGATTGATCTGAAATGTGCCTTGTTTGTAGAGGACTGTCCCCAACAACTTGCCAAACCGTCTACCGATCACTCCGCGCCAATTTTTGGTCAAAAGCCCTCAACTTGTATCTGATGATTGTCCGCGCTTCGATTGGTTCCGCAATTCTCTCTACGAGAGCGAAACAGGCACAGCGATACCAGGTTCGGCTGATTCGACATCAACCCACCCTGCCCCACCTTTCCGCCTTGCAAACTCAGCCCCTGTCGCACATGGCGGAGAAGAGGAAGATGAAGTTATATTGGTCAGAGAACAATGTCACCAGGCTTCTTCAAATGTAACCCAACCTGTTATCACGGTTACAAAACAAGTAAGTTCTGATTTTCCCCTCACCTCCCACACCTCTGTGCACCTGAATTGACCACGGTTTTCCTTTTTCATTTGCTCAGACTACTACTCCAGCAGCCCCCAATACCAACCTGGCCAAAGTCACCTGGCCCAACAACGAGGGTCCAGTTAGTGACTTATTTGAATGGTACAATCTGACGTTAAAACTGCACCGGGTGAAAGCGTGGAAAATCTGTTTTGGTGAACACTTCAAAGAACCTTCAGATAGTACTATCCATCGGTATGGTAGATGGATCAAAATTGTAGAGCCTCCCAACATTTTGGCATGGGAACAACGGCAGCAATCGGTTGGCAAGTCCTTCGCAGTACCTTTTGCGCGTGCTGAGTTTCGCGCACAATTCCAGCTCGCCGGATCACCAGGTTCTGACCCGGTCGCTGTCAACGTGGTCAAATCACCCAACAATAAGACGAATCAGACGGATCCACAAACACGCCGAAAACAAAAATTTGGTGAATAAAGCCTCCGGGTGAACCTTCAATTCAGCTTTAAAAACTGACGGTTATGTATCATTTTGTATCTTTCATCGTTTGTAATATGTGCTTTTTCTGTCAGTGATCAGTATCTCCCCCCCACAAAAATGTGTATCGCCACGCACGACGATTGGCTCCCGTCAAGTACAATCAACACCCTCAATAAAATGTTTGATCACCACAATTCTGGTTTACTATTGGCGCCGCGCGGAAACCATCTCCATCTAAATCCGTCGAACCCCCTAACAAGCGCCAGAAACGAAAATTGAGTGAATGATTCCAGCAGCGCAATCGTCATCCTATCAGTGCTGGATCTGACTTTTTGCTGTACCCACCCCACGTTTGTATCAGTAAACTCATCACAACTTACTAGTCCAGAAAAGGCCTCCCAGGCTCAAAACCGACCATTTTTGGTGATCATTTGGGTGATTGATTACCCAAATGATCACCAAAAATGGTCGTTATTCCTTTTCAGTCCTCTGACATCCAATCTGTCTCTACACGATGGACGCGCCTTCCTCACCTTATGGTGTTTTGTTCAAATTGAACGCACAAGGAGGGTACGGCTGTCTGACTTTTGGTGACAATATTTGAAGGGGATAAATTATAATCTCTAAGTCTCCAATCATATATCCATGTATTTTGCAAATAATGTTGTTGTAATTTGTGGAATTGAACGATACCGAGAATGAAGCGCATCGCCTGCGTCACCTTTGCACTTTTCGCTTTTGTATTGCGAAGTGATTTTGGTTGAGCAAATATGTAATTGAGCACAAGCACATTTCGCGCGCTCCCGAGCACTCCAGGCATCACACTAAACTCCCTCGCGATTTGAGGGTGGGTGTAAGTGTGATGGTTGCGTTTAGTTGATGGCGCAAGGAGATCCCATGAAGTCTACGCATGCAATTAGACGGAAGTTGCATTCGTAGACTTAGACTTCACACAGATTCACACACATTTTAGTTAGAGGAGATGAACGATCATTCTCCGATCTTTCTTGATGGGAAAGACGATTGAGAGGATAAGTATGCTCTCAATCGTTGGATGAGCCACAAAGATAGGTTGTATGTCGCATTCACAGTGTCATTTCAGACAGACAATTTTCAGATACAGATGATTGAGGTTCTTGAATTATTAGTTTGTATGAGATAGAGAAATACAAGTATTTTGGAAGATGTGTATGCTTGTCAAACTTCAGGAGATGGAGATCGCCTGGGTAACTCGGGTAGGGCTAGTATGTCACAAAATTTGCCACACACATACTCTTTGGGGAAGCGGCGAAGGGCGTCCTGGCCAAAGTTGCCAATTGTCCACGGATCACTAAATCAAGAGAAAAGCGAGGTAAGAGCAAGACTCTTATAGGCATCACGTTTGACCAGATCACTCACTTGGCGTCATGAACAACCACCTCGGTGATGACAGGCCCAACACCCTGGAAGCCCGCAAGGAAACGTGTGTGCCCACTGGTCTCGTACGTCCAGTGCGAGAGGGCTCCCAGTAGAAGGCGAATTGGGCGCGAGAGATGGTGGTGGACGGGTGCCAGACAAGGTTTGAAACAGGCGTCTAAGCTATACATTTCTCGAGTTCCCTCAACAAGCTCTTCCGCCGTGAAGCAGCTCAAACCGGTAAGAGCAGGATGAACATTCGGTGCTCCTTCATGCATCATCCCCACAAGGTTCTCCTGGAACTTTGAGCATTTAGAAAAGGTTTGCGGTCAGCAACTGTGCACGAGCCAAGATGAAACGATTCGCGCTCACCCTCAGTTGTTGAAGGGTATCCCACTCAGTGTTTGTGGTGTTTGAAAACGTCATCTTATCCTCGATGGTGTCCCTGAAACCGTCAAGTTCTACGGCCGCGTAGAAGTAACCTTGTGCAATTCCAAGATAGGTGGAGAGGGGGCGATCGTGGTGATGGAAGGAGCGCACAGCCACCACCACAGAGCAGTTCTCATTCGTAATGGTGGCTTGGAATGACGAACGGAAATCCCAAGAGTGTATGAACTCGTTGGTGACTGTGATGCGAACTGGTTTACCTTGAAAGGACCAAGTTACAACATCATGAATCATGTCGCATCGAAGGGCAAATATGGTGACGTCGGAGTCTGGAATGATGAACTGGTGTTGGACCACCACTGGGAGCACCTGCTTGCCGAAGTATTTGGAGTCGTTTAAATGCTCAGAGACCCCCTGAAGCGGGTTCTCTGACGACGATTATGAGAAGATGAATAAGACAAGATGATACCATGAGGCGAAAATGCCTTCAACTTTTTGACATTTCGCAAGAATGTTAATGTGGACGGTGACTTACCCATTTCACACACCTCATGGATCGTCGGTTGGGCGTTGGCAGGTGCATCCTCTGCTTCTCCTTCGGATTCTTCTTCTGGCGCGTCATGGGGTTCAGCCGGCTCGGGAATCCCTGAAATCCCGAAAGGTTCCATTTGCAAGGTGAAGGCTTGAGTGGCTGTGTCTTCAGGCAACGCAGCATCCTGCGTATCAGTCGATCGGGCACTGGCACTTTGGCCACTGTCTGAGTGGTAACCTTTCATGGTTTCTGTGTGTAAGGTGGGAGGAGTGGATTGTAGGGCAGGAGTCAGACAAGCTATCTCAGCGGCGCGATCACATACCAAGAGAGATAAAAGCCTTATAGAACCTTTGGGTAAATAAAGATTATGAGGAACAGAGTTGAAAAAATCCAGCCGAGAACAGGAAAATAGTGAATATGAGGATCGAAAGTCGAAAAGTCAAAAGATCGGTGTTGAGGAAACTAGATGAGAATATTAAGCAGTTATTGAGACTGCTAGGCTATTTCAAGAGTAAATCTACTTGATTTACTCTCGTGAAGGTGAGCTGTCGCGCTAATTTACATCTTTGATTTGCCTAACCTTAGTCCTCCATAACTTCAGTATCATGAAGTTATGGAGGACTATTAATCGCTTCTGCTTTCTTAAAAAACAGGTCGGTCCAAGCTAGCGCATACTAACTAACTCTACGTGCGAAGGGAGGAGGAACAAACCCTATCTTTGACCAAGCTCGCGCTACATCAATCGCATAAATTGTTCGATGCGATTGAGATTGATGCGAGGCAAAGACAATGCCAGGTTGGAACTGAACCCCACTGCCGGAGGGAGAGCAGCGAGGAGTGTATATATATGCTAAGACTGCCGCGTTAGCAACATTTGCAATAAATGTCTAAAGTAGAACCTTTTTTGCATAATGTATTTGACTACGGCCATTTAGCATCCCCTTAACACGCGTCCGTTTTGGTGTAGAGGCCAAGGATGGATGGAGGAGTGGGGTGGTGGTTTGAGGAGGATGGCTCGTAAAACGTTCAGAATGCAGGTGGAGGTGGTGCCTAGTACAATAAATGGACACTCGTCTTTCCTCGGTCATACTTTCTTCTCTCCTCTCTCGGTACCTCAGCTGACCGTTCTTGCCACAGGCGTAATTGGACCTTTGGCAACTGGCGCGGCCTCATGCCAATTTTCCCCAAAGAACACGTGTGTAGGAAGTTCTGTCACCTACGAGGGATTGCTTTTGCAACTCATATTCCCTTTTTTTAATCTCTTTTCATCTGTATTGGAACCATTCATTCAAATATTAACTTCTGCTGTCATTGGTGACTAGTTTTTGTGTCCATTGAAAATAAAAGTAATTCAGCTATTATGATCTTTTTGCCCTTTATATCTGTCTGACTCCCATGTGAATTACTAAGATATGTGAGGTTAATCTCACATCAACGAGACAAGAGACAAGAGCTTTGCCAAATTGTGTCTTTCCAATCAAACATCTAAAAGGACTTTTCATTCCATCATGAACACTGACTGATTGTCTTTCAATGTATATAATTTTTTCATACACATGAATAAATTCAATATAGATACATGTTAACAAGCAAAGGCAATGTATTCAAAGTAATCTCATTTTGATCAGATCACTTTGGATATTCATAACATCCATTGATAAATTTGATTGAAGAGATAGAAAAGCCAGAATGACATGATGAATCAAGGGTTCACATTTCCAAGTCTCCGCAGAAAAACATGTTCGCTCTTTTTTTGAGTCGGCGAATCATCCATTTATTCCTGCGTTCTACCATTTCCTCCATAAAAAAATTGAAATGGACCGCATGAATATTGCGTGCGATGGAAGCAAAACCCCTGTACCAAACGTTGGTCATCTCGGCAGCGGACGAGTTGAAGATCCAATGACCGTTCTCGTCCTGAAGTTCTGGGAACAATTTGGGATCCGTGTAATGCTGGCAAAACTCGTCGGTGTCCTTGTGCCCACGGAAGTGAAAGGGATCTACTGGGAAGACGGTTTTTAAAAAGGGTGTGGGATCTTCATCTCCATTGTAGATGTGATCCACGAGCTTGCAGGCGCTGTCATAGAAGCAGACCTCGGGTATTTTCTTCGGAAACGTACGTAAGATAAAGGCCTGACCGGTGGAACAATAATAGTATAGTCAGTTTGGCTACGGGAGCATTAGGATTAGATACAAACATACCTTCACTGCACTCAAGCTCTCAGAGTGGAAAAATGTTTCTCGCCCGAGTATGATACCGCACGCGGCTACTACAAGCTGTTCATTGTGTGTTCGGCTGCGAGAGATGCACACTCATTTGCCTTTTTTCTTTTGGGCATCTACACCCTCGCGCGCTTTTTCATGTACCCGATTGTCTTCGTCTGCGTCTTGTACAGCGTCCATATCTACCATCTCTGCGGTGTCCCAAGCTTGATGGACGGTCGGGTCAGATGGTCGGTTTGAACCAGGACGGTTGAGCATAGAGGTGAGTGCGAAGCTTGACTTGACGCGTGCTTTGAATCGGGCATAGGCGTCCACATGCTCTTGTAGCCCGCATGTTGCTGAACCATTTTCCGCGTCCTGTGAGCAAGGCTGAGCATGGCAACGCCGCCCGAGCCGTAGTTGATGATTCGGGCAGAAACAATCGTGTACTCGAGCCAGAGGGGTCGTACACGGCCCATTTGGTGGCGGCAAACCGTCAGAAACCGCTAGTTCTCGGAGCTGATCCGCTGTTGCTGTACAGCGCCAATGCCCTATAGTTACACCATCTGTAACGACCGCACGGATGTCTAGAGATAAAACAAGATTGTTTGAAATTAAAATCAAAGCGAAGTACAAAAATGAAATATCAACTTACATCCTTCATTGCCGTTTTCAGCGGTCTCGGAAGTCAGTTGGACACATGCTGAACAAACATGATCACGATGTTTTGTACCTTCTAGAGCAATCCATTCCAAGACTTGTTGCATTGGGTCGTGGTAACGTTGATCACTGGCGGTCGTTTTGGTGTCCACAATCAAGTTACCAAAGCACGCGTCAGCTCGGTTGAGGAGACAGTGAATGTCTAACGCATCACGGCAAGTCGATTCAGATATAAAGGGTTGAACAGTGGGGGCCCCATTCAACCTCGGGATGTCAGTCACATCATTGACATATGAGAGGTTGAACATGTTGACTAGATTGAAGTTCGAGATACTGATTATCGATGTACATATTAATCACGTGGCCGATATGAGAGAGAGAGACAAAATAAACACTTACTGGGCAAGCATTTGTCCGTTGAGGAAAAGTTCAGCCAATTGGTGGGTCATGAAAAAGTGGGTGGAGACCTGGTAGGCTACTTGGTTCCGGCCAATTAGTGACGAGTAGTAGGTGCGGGTGCCATCCTCAGAATAGTAGCTGGGTCGGTAGTGGGTGGTGCATTCTAAAAAATGCAAATGAGCAAAGCGCCGTCAAAAGTGCTGGTCATGAAGACCTACTTGGGCATTTCATCGTGTATATCCGGGCTGTATGTACGCCGTCCACGTCATACACGTAGCCATCGATTTGAGAGCGATGCTGTAATCGAATTTCAGGAGTGGAAGGATTTGCACAAACTAAACATTTCTTCACAGGTGGTGTGAGAAAGAATTCGGGAATGCTTTCAGGAAGTCCCGATTGGTAACCGTGCTGTTGGATCAGGTTTGCAGGTCGGATGTGGATTTGGGACAATGTTGGGAAGAGTATGCGCCACAGATGGCGAAAGGCTTTGGTCGGTAGTGAAGAGTTCAATGCGGTCCTGAGGAAGGGTATCACGTCGTCTGCACTGTCGAGAGTCATATTCCAGGCGCCCTCGGTGCGAGTGTATATTTCCGCGGCAAGGCTGGCAAACCGTATGACGTCCGATATTGTGATGGTTGTGAGTAGCTCCGGGCAGTCAGAAGAGACAATGTTGATAAAGGTGGCAAGTAGCATGGCTGATGATGGGAACTTAGAGTGGACAGTTGGAAAAGGAAGAGCGGTGGTGAGTTAGGGAGGCCTGAAATCGGTGTGAGGTCACGGTTATTTGGTGACGGTTATTTCCCGAGTCACTGGGCTGTCTTTCACGAGCCCTTTCGTGAGAGATGGCAGCAATCCTTGTTGAAGTGTGGAAAGGTGATATAAAGCCATCACATTATGCGTTTGAGGGGGGGCTGACAGTCAGGGTTGGCTGTACAGGACTGACAGTCAGGGTCCTCCCGAAGGCCCAGATCTCCGGCACCAACAGGCAAGGACTCCTTGATAAACTTCATCTTGGATCGTGAGTATCATCCTCTCTATCCTGACCAGGAAGACGAGAAGTCCTACTTTCATGGCACTCTGATAGCACTTACTGACTTTATATCTCAAAATATTTAGCTACTGATGCAATCCTAGTGTCTGCGGACAAAGGTGGCTTCAGTCTTTGGAGCTGTCCGCCACGGGATGATAAGGGGGCATATTGCTGTACTGTTTCCGCTGTATCACCAGCTGTAAGTATCTTTTTCCTTCCGGACTTGTCACATTTTTTCCATGGCTGAAAAACATCAATTGTCATGTTCTTTATCATCCTTTGTTTTCATCAAGGATAAGGATAAAAAGTTAGCTGCGGCCTGCCGCAGCCAGAAACAAACTTACTGATTTTATGATGATTGAAGAAAATGTGGTTTGTTCTCTTGAAGAGTTATTGTGATAGATGTGTCCAATGTTGATACTTGCATTTCTTGAGACCATTGTAATCTTTTAGCATGTATAAAAATGCAATCTGAATCAGCAATTAAACACATGCAATTCAGAACACTGAAAGAAAAAAATTCTTTTTGAGATTGTTGCTGCCTGCCCCAGTGCATCAAATCCATTATAAGTCAATCACCCCCACTGTTACTCTCCTTCTCAGGCATGAGACCTTTCTCGACTAGAACCCTTCATTGTAAGTAGCCTAGGCGGCCACCATTTCCAGAGGCTGGATGGATATTGACCACAGGCGCAGTGATTGCCTGGCCAGAGCCGGCCTGCCCTACCTAGATGGATTAAGGATAAACATAACATCAGTCTATGTTCATCTTTTGGCTTGAAGAAGCTGGAAGGAAAATGGTCAACCAATAAATTAGATCACCTTCAGGACCCAATGTTCCTGCCTTTGAGTTCTTCACCAATTGTTCCTCAAACGCTTTCATAGCCAAAGGGTCAGTGTTTTTTGAAGCAGGCCAGATGTGGCAATAAATTCCTGTGTGGCAAAAGACTCCCCAGCTGGTCTCCTTCTGTATATCAACTTGGCAGTTGGATTCCTTACATTGAGTCCAAAGATGATTTCCATTACACCTGACAATGGGGCAAATCAGATGTCTACAGGGAGAGAGGAGGGCGCCAAAGACATCACATCTGATTCAGTATTGAAAATGCAAAAGAGAAGAAGAGATAAACTCACTCAAGAACCAGCTCAGCTGCCTTTCCATCAGCAGTCAGAGGTGGTGCTGCATAGTCACAAAAGTCATTGTTGCAATGTAAAACACCCAGGCAGGTGAACCAGACCATCTTCCAAGGTCCTTTTTTGGCGCCTTGAACCTTTTGAGTATGTGGATAGGAGATGTGACCAAAGTTTAGGATGTTGTTGCCAGGCTCTTGGACAAAGACTGTCTGACCATTTGGATAAATTGTGTAGCCATGACTATCTTGGGTCAACCCATGATCAATATAGGTCTTGAGTTCACCGCTAGACGGAATAGGTATCTTGAACTTCTTCCCAGTCTTGGTTGGGCAATTGTGTTTCTTCTTCCCAGGTGATTGTGATGTAGAAAGCATTTTGGTGGAGTTAGCTTCAACAGGTTCAATTTCCAAAGTGACTTTGGCCTCAGTTGGAGTTGATGAAGCCCGTTGTAGTATTTAAAGCTCAACAAGAGCTTTACAACACCTAAGAAGGGATAATCTACTACGTGTAATATAGTAGAAGTTGCCTAAAGACTGCCTTCTTCAAAGAAACCAGCACAAGGGCACTTGCTGACCACTTTGTGATAACAGAGAAAAAGATAAAGGCACCAGAGAAATAAAGCAATACTGTTGTGTAGTATTATTCCCAGTTTTAAGCGCAAAAAGGTTCACACACTATGTTTATTACTAGCAATACTGTTGTTAAGTATTATTCCCAATTGACTTTTAGTCTTTAACACACATAAATAAATTTCTCCTTGCTTTGAAGGGGCGGATTTAAGTGATCTTAGTACAAATATAGTAAATAAATGATGATTTATAACACTACAACAAAGGTATAAGATGCAGAAAGGGGAACAAAAATCCCAAAATCATCAAAGAGTATATATATCCACATGTAACAACCTCTACAACAGTCAACAGCCTCAAAAACCAGTCAAATCCGCCTAAAGAACCCTAAAAATCATGTAATGACACAATGTAATGATCTTGTTACTAATGTATGATGTAATTTTCACAGCTAAAAGTGATCAATGACGCAATGATGTAATGTACAGCACTTCTTAAGATGAATACAGGTGATTTTTTCCTTGTAAACTAGCTGAAAACCAAATTTTGAGATTACGAATTTTTTCAGATGTGCTCCAATGTTGATCTACTATAGTGCATCTTGTAGCTCTCGTGATACTGATCATTTCTGACACCCATATGACCTACTTCTGATGAGTGATGAGTAAGATATTGACACTGCAAAAATAATGTATTTTTCCAAGGTGAAAAATGATTGACATTAATGCACAAAATGATTAATAATGCAGAATTAATGCAGAAAAATGCAGAATTAATGCATTTTTAATCATTTTGTGAAATAAATGTAATCATTTTTCACCTTGGAAAAATACATTATATTCACAGTGTGAGTTGTGAAGTTAAGGTTTTTGGTGTTACATGTTGACTTGTGACTGTAAATTCGAGATTCACACCAATTTCTTATTTGCCTTATAACTTTTTTCATAAACCTCTGTTACTAATGATTTAAGGATTGTACATTATGTAATCCACTCTTCTGCGGTGAATGAGCTATCTACCAACTTAATCTGACGTCATTTGACATATGTAATAAGCTGAAAACCTTCATTTTTGACGAAATTCACCCATTCTCTTCACTTTTCACAGCTACTACTCCCTTTTTCTTGCTCATGTAATATGACATCATCTTCTATAACCTTAAAAATCCCGGAAAATCCTCTTGGCAACCTTAATTTCCACTACTACCACCATTACATATGCAAACTACACGCATAACCCTTGTTTACCAACTTCAAAAAAGTACCTTTCTCCTAATAACTTCTGTTTTTCCTTATCAACCTTGAAGATTAAAATTGTTACTGTATAATAAACTGTTGTTCTTTCATATTCTAACCTTTAAAAACCCATAACTTAATTATAAATATGCTAAAAACCATTTTCCAACCTTTACACCTACATTTTCGAATTTTTCTTATCTTTTCTTTTTCTCTCTTTTTGTAATAACTTTGTAAGTAAAATATGTTGATCTTAAGAATAATTTTGAAATGAGATGACATAATATTGAGCCAATAAGTATACATAAGCCTCTAAGAGCTTCAATTGATCTGAAATCTTGAATTTCAAATTTCCTGCTACACTGAAGTTTTCTAATAACTTGGTAAAGTGAAGATGATTTTTTTTGCTTGATATCATAAATAGATCACCACACCGTTTGGGTTCAAGGGAGCCTAATGAGATAGTGTCTTCATAATCAGACATGATAAGACAATAAACTGAAAGTGTATAATTGTTGTAGAGATAAAGGATGTGCGATTTGTCTGATATTAAGGATGATTGGTCTAATTTGTGGATTTGTAGAATAGATAGAGCAGAAGGAGACTGGAAGAATTGATATCATACAATTGTTGAGCTGCGGATCAATCAAATTGCGGGAATTTGTAGAACAGACAGAGTAGAATGAGGCCGGATAAATTGTGGTTGAACAATTGATGTGGAGCTGTTGAGGAGAACTTCAAAGGCAAGCCTTGGATGTCAACAAAACCAGTTGACTTCAATCCATTGGGGCTATGAGTCACTGAACACAGGATGGTAAGTGAGATGATTGTATATTTAGTTAGCAAGATGTCATTTCAAGTTGTTGTGATGATGATGAGAGAGAGTTGATATTACATGAAGGACGAGGTGAGGAGAGGTGGCCTGGCTTTTGTGATATCTGGGAGGGAGAGTGCATTGAAGATATCAAGGGTGATTGTCATGGTTGAGCTGTTTGTTCTCCATGATGAACAAACACCTCTGCGGTGGGAGCGTGGGTAGAAGATAAGGATGCGGAAAAGTTGGTTTGGTGCGGTTTGGTGCTGCTGTATTGTAGGTTTGGTGAAGATAGCTAATCAGACGTGTCGTGGATGGTTTGGCGCAAATCTCAACTTTGATGGTGGTATTTTCAAAAAATGCATGCTGGCACATCACATCCAACTTGGAGTGTACCGTGTTTCAGGGGTAAAATTAGAATTTGGGGACCCATACAGAGTTTTGCCCTGTGGATATTTAACACTTGTCATGGTGTATATAAGTTACAGGGCAAAAGTCTAACTTTGATGTGGGATTTCAAAACTTTACACTCCATCATTTACACTGTAAGTTTTTGCACTCCAGGATTTGGGGCAAATCATGTGGAAAATTACATTTGACCCTGTTGTATGCAGATTTTTACACTCGACTCCTTTTACACTCCATATTGAGTGCAAATGGTTAATAAAATTCTATTGACCTGTATCTTAATTGGAGAGTCACCTACAAGTCTGAAATCTTTATCAATTATCACAAAACTTGCTTTAGCCTTGGAACTGACTACTTGGATGTTATGAACGTGATTTGACATACTTTTAGGATCATTGAAACCTTTGTTGAGTTGAGGCAAATCATGGTGAAATGTTGATGAGCTTGTTCAACTTGGATTTGGTTCATGTAAGTTAAGAGTTTGCGTAGGAATGAGCACAAGG